TTTATTTCAGCTTCATCAAGCTCGTCGATGTCTGCACTAATGCAGGTGCGTATAAATTCACAGACCCTGTCTCTGAATGCTTGACTTGTTAACAGTACCCTCATATCTTCCGCCGTAGGGCCCCCAACAAGCCACATTATAATATGAAGGTGAAGACTTCCCCGACCTTGAGCTTCGACAGAGCCAATGTACGCCTTCAGTTCCCCAACTATTCCAGGTCTTCGTTGTATCTTCTTGGCTCCTTTCCCAGCTGTTAATCCAAAAAGTTCCTCTAGAATGACCTGGATGACTAGATGAAAAAAGCGTGCTGATGCATAGGGATCTTTTGCAATCGTCGAATTACGCTCCTTTGAAGACGGGCCAACCAATGAATTAAACTTGTCCAAATCTATCCCGACGCCTGCCATAACTTGCGCTATGGGGTCTTGAGTATCGCTCGGATTGATAGTTATCCAAAGGTTGGGTGGGTTAAGTACCACCGTTGCACTCCATATCTTGGTTCTAATGCTTTTGTGAGACTCATCGGTGCCTTGGACGTTTGCTCGTACAGCAGTTATCTGCGAGCGAAGGGCTTGTACAGAAGGATTTGAGAAAGGTACACGACGAGCTTCTTCAGCACTCGCTTTCAGAAGATCGGCAGGCTTCAACATACGGATGGCAACTTCATTGTTCCGATACGCAGATCTTTGCATTTGCAACGCTGCGGAACGGCAGACCATTCTTTTCTGCATGACACCAAATACCTGGAAGACGAATTGAAGATCGTAGCGAAATCGTTTATCGTGATATTGGAGTGCCCAGTGTGAGTGAACTTCATAGGGTACAGTTTCCTTACGCCAAACTTCAAATCCGCCAGCACCGTATGGGAAAAGGACGGGAAATGATCCCAGGAGATGGTTAGGATTGCTTGGTCCGCCATCTGATCTCAAACCCGTTACTTCATCTTTACGTGCGTATTCATTGATAAAGGCACTAGATCTGCATATCAGGAAAGAAGGGTTTTGATCTTCTTCAGATGCATTCGCAAAAGCATGAGACACAACGTCGCTATCTGTGACACCAGACCCAGAAATGTCGATCATGCCTGTGGCTTGCATCGGTATCACAGAGGCCGGAATATCTTCTTTTTATTTATTTATGATCAACACCTCAGTGGTCAAAGACTGTTCAGAAAACTTACCAGCTACGTCCAAATCTGTATCGTTGTCAAATGTAACAACGCCTGATGCAATGCCAAAAGCGTAATCTAAGTAGGCATGAGTTTCATCTATAATAATAACGAGAAGATATTCACGAACCTTCAGGGATATCAAGCTCCTCCTCAGGACGATCTTCATCATCTATTGGTACGTAACCATCCTGTTCTCGAGCTAATGCACCAACATCTGACGAATGCTTCACAGTTGACATAATCTCTCGTGGAACGCCAGTCTCTGGTAACTGGGAAAGTCGTTCTTCTGATATGACCATGTCGCGATAAAGGGGATTATTGGCCTTTAACCATTCCAAGGCCTGTCTAACACGATTCCGTCGGACGTACAACATTTCAGGCATCAAGGACGAAGGCACGTCTTTGGGCCCTACAAAGGTCACCCCGATAATTGATGATAATATAGAAGCAGGTGGAGGCATACATGGTCCTTGAACCATATCTTGAATTTCATCGCTGTCAAGGCGGTAGGTGGACACATTTCCTTTCAATCCACTGGCCATTTCTGACTTCCAATAACGGGCACGTTTGTCTTTGGGATACAGTTTCACAATGTAGGCCACTGGGTAATATTTTGCAATCAGGAGACGCTCAGGAAGGCTGAGAACTTTCAACACCCATGGGATATCACCGATCCACATGTTATTTGCAAGAGACAGAGGAGGTAGGGAGTTTTTCGACAACTTGTGATTGCACTGATCGCAGATAGTAGCAAATCCTGCAGCGTTAATACCTGCACGTTCAAGGAGCATTCCGTCTGTCAAATGGTGATGCAGATGGGGACGAGAAGGACGCAAATGATGGCGGAAGGGAATTTCATTGGGGACATATGTGACAACTTCATCGGCGCCAACCTCTCTAGCACATGACGCGCAAACGGCTGTGTTTAACGCTTCGTTACCAGTGCGCAACAAGAAATTTGAAATGCCTTCGTTCATTTGTTGTTCGGAGGGAAGATGGAGAAATCGGTTATCAAACTCTGGAGTCCAATCAACACCTGAGTTTTCTTGTGCAAGATCGGTAACTGAAGACCCAATTTGCATTTCTTGTTCTTGAAAACTGACCTCTCTTTGATTAGGTAGTTCGGTGTTTGTCCTTCTGCGTTTTGAGGGTCCAGCAACAGCAAAATCTGAATGTCTTTTACTGGGTAAAACACTGGATAACGACTTCCGCACATGTACCTGGTCTTCAATAGACAAAGAAGCGATAGCCTCCATGATTTGGGACCTATAACGAGGAGTTGCATGCAGAAGGCCATAACTTGCAAGGAGGATTTGAGAAGAATTATAGTTCTGAAGCTCCTTTGTGACCGAACTGACTGTCCATGATGCAGGAACTGCCTCGTCAATGTAGGTGGAGCCAGATAGACCCAGACGACGTGTTCTCAGATTGTTTAGAAGGTAAGTTTGATTTGTTGCCGATAAAGCAGTGGCAGCATTGATAAGAGTAGATCTCGTTTGGCGATCACGAGAAGGCAATGTTGGCAGTGGCCATGCCGTGATGATTTCTGAACGAGTATAGGGGGTAAGACATGAAGTTGCAGTGGACGTGTCCCACAAAGACAACTGAGATGTATCGGATTGCATAGTGATAAAATGAGATGTGAATGGGTAGAGTTTTTTTTTAGTGTTAACTTCTCAAGATCCGGTGATACTGTGTTATAAAATAGCGCATCACGCTGGTCTGGAAGAAAGCGTGCCTGTGAACCCGTTTAAGCGGGGCACCCATATCCGGTTGACTTGGACTTGGTGTTGCGCACTATCTTGCCCTAAGCTTGAAAAATGGATAGACTGACGATCAGGTTTATAATGATCATTGAGGTGGGATGAGGTGCGTTTTTGTGTTCAAGTATAAAAAAAAGATAAAAAATTCTTAGGCAGATGGAGAGTTGAGTTTGAGTGCTGTTCCCGAGCAGAGTTGGGAGTCAGAGGATAGGGGCAGGGAGATATAGAGGGAGGATTGGGGAGAAGAGTACACGCAAGCGTGGTGGTTCAACTTCTTGAGCAAAATGAGCTCTTACATTTGGACGTTTGGAGGAGGTGATCTATACACTTTTTTTCTTGTTCAACTGTATACAAATAAGAGTTTATAAGATAAGAAATTCACAAAACAATCAATCCTAAGAGCAAGAGATATAACGAAATGCAACCATGAGGGTTTGAAATAGAAAAAATGAGTCCAAGTTAATGTTCTACGACCTAATATAGTACAAAACAAAACCTTGCAACACGGTTTGGTTGGATTTGGCAGCAGTCTAGAGCGGTCTCTAACGCTTCGGCTGAAATAAAAGTGATATATGACCTTGGGGGCCAGTACGATGGAATTGCTTGGTTGGGTTTGGCAGCAGTCTAGAGCGGTCTCTAACGCTTCGGCTGAAATAAAAGTGATATATGACCTTGGGGGCCAGTACGATGGATTTGATTGGTTGGGTTTGGCAACAGTCTAGAGCGGTCTCTAACGCTTCGGCTGAAATAAAAACGATATATGACCTTGGGGGCTAGTACGATGGATTTGCTTGGTTGGGTTTGGCAGCCAGTCTAGAGCGGTCTCTAACGCTTCGGCTGAAATAAAAACGATATATGACCTTGGGGGACAGCACGACGGCTTACATAATTATGACCGTGGTAATAGACCTTGACAAGCAAGGTAATTTCAACCACCATCATCTAAATTTCGTTCACCCTCTCGGATGTCAGGCCATACCCAAAACACGGTCAGAATCCAGACTCTATACCTCATCAACACTCCTAACCTCTTCTCTTACCTAGTGGCCTCCAGAATTGACGCACAATGTGCTTATATACCTTGACAGCGACGATGTGGCGAGAATGGCGCGCGTCGGCAATACTTTTCAAGCAGAGGCCGAGCGCCTCCTTTCGCGAAGGAGGACCAATTGGGAAAAATCACTGCGGAAGCCCGACATGTACAGGTGCGGACTCGGAGTTGACGTGGATCCCACTACCAAGTATTCTGGTCAGGGGTCACGTCTAGTACAAGAACTCATCTTCTGGTATTCACACGAGGACAATTTGGACTCGAACACTTTGGACATGCTCGTCATTGATCAGCTGTGCGAGGGCTTATTGCTAATGACATCCCTGAAGCACTTAACAATACGTCTTCCGGGTAAGCCAGAATTTGAGGTTCTTGAAGCCATAAATTCTACGCTCGCGTACGCATTTGCTTGGTTACTTTTTTCACTATTTGACTTTTGTCAGTCGTTGCACATTCTCCTTGAAGACACTTTATCTACCTGAACATTTCGAACTGTTTCCCTGGATTCTAAACCAACCTGAACTCAAAATAATCGCGGTGTATACCTGGAATTATATCTGGGGATTTGACAAGGACAAGCATTTGAGCTGTCAACGATGGCTTTCAAATTCGCCCTGCTTCCGAAACTCTCCAACCTTTTTCATTCTTTCTCGAAGAGACCAGGAGATGAATGTAATCTCCGCCTTCCTCACTTTCTCCCCTCAATGGAGTGCAAAGCTCATTAATGATTCCCTGGAACGCTTTTATGAAATCCCACGGAACATCACTAAGTTAGGTCTGTACGTGCAAACTATGGACGAACTGGATGATAGGAATGTCCTGTCGGTCATCAGGTCAATCTCAGATCACTTCGTCAACATAGATTCCTTGGACTTATTTGTGGGAGACTGTATGATTCACCTGGTGAGGCTACCCAGCATTTTGTCACCGTTGCTGGCAGCGTCAATTGACGACTTTGCCCAAAAGAATCCTGAAGCTCTTGCCTCAGTACTCTCGTGCCTTACAGGCGAATTTCAACAACTGGAGATTCAATTTTGGGAACGGCCATCGAATCGGAAGGACAATCCACTGGCCTACTCCTTCCATTATCAAAAATTAAAGCTTTGCAAGATCTGGTCAGAGCGATGCCCAAGTTTGGCTTACATCGGCTTTCCAGATTACACTGGCAGGGAAATAGATTTAGGATGGAAGACAGGAGTGATTTTCTGACTAGTGGGGCAGTGTTCTTACGGCTGAGTTTCCGGAGTCAGAGGTTGGGCAGAATTACTTGAAAAAAAGAATCGACGGACAGACAACTACGTAGCACGGATGTTTAGTGAAAAAATCAACACCACCTAACACCAATCTGGCATGGTAAGGAAGGTAGTTAGCGTTTCTGGCATGTCGAAACAAATGTATTCATCATTAGTCACATCTTCAAAAAGTTTGAAAGCTACATAGGTCTACAAGACCTAAATAGCTTCGTTAGGTAATTAGGTTGACCCCCGATATATAGGTACCATTAGACACCACTTTGGTTATGTACGTTTTTGTAGGTGGTCCTAGGTTGATAGGCAGTAGTCTACTTAACCTAGGTAGGTACTGTAGCGCCGTTAGAAGAGATGAAACAGATTTCATTATTGGGTACAGGTATGTATCGCGCGTCAATCCTCCTCTTCCGACAACACCAGACCTTCCCATTCCTTTTTCGCTGCCTCTACCTCATCTTCAGCAATCCTAGCGGCTTGAATAACTTGAGGCGCATCGTCGGCTTTTGGGTGTTTTCTGAAGACAGTCATTAGAATCGCACGAAAACCAAAATAGAAGGAGAAATTACTTCGCCATTTTCAGCATATGCTTACGATCGTGGATGTCTCTTTCCTCGGCCCTCTTGTACTTCGGAGAACTTGGACTCTTGAAGTCCTAGATATTCAACTGTAACTTCTCTCAAAAGACAATTGAATTGCCTATTTTTTCCAAGGTTGCAAGTGGGAACTAGCAAATACGAGGGCAGAGCGATGCCCAAGTCTTACTCATGCTAGAAAACAGCAAACCACCGAAAAAGCTCTCAAAGATGGCAACTTCTGATAGCATTACGCATGCCTGTCCATCATACAGTAAGCAGGGAGAAAAACGTGAATCTTTTGGCTATGGCGCCGGTGCGCTTAACTTGAAGTAGATTCCATCGGTTTCCCTTTTCAACGATGGGCGATAAACAAAGAACGTCCAAAGTTCCCAACAACTGCAGTGTTATACATAGTAAGAGACATAAACAAAGCGGAAGTCCGAACGCCCTTCCTTCTGGTATACTAAGGCGAGTAGCAAGGGCTCATCATCGCTCAAGCGTTGGTTGCCCCGTAGTTCGCGGCCTGCTGATCCTGGTTTGGACCTTGCTGGTAGAGGGGCTGGTATTGGCCGCTTCCAATATCTAGGGAGAGTGATTAGTCCAGTGGAGATTAAGTCATTGCTAAATGAATGGGCGCACAAATGAACCCTCCGCTCCCGTACCGCTCCTCCGCCTGCATCTGCTTGTAGATCAACCAGAATGCATGGATCGCTCCGGGGACAAAGCCCAAGCTGTATTTGAGTCAACGTGTCAGGGAACTTCGTTAAGAGACTGGACTACGCACGCTGTGAGTAGGATGTTGATGAGGAGCTCACAGCTGCATCCTGTGATGAAGAATACACCAATTGGGGGGAAGAAGATGGTAACCTAGAGATTCCTTGAGTCAATAACCTCAAAGCGACGATTTGACCGCTTGAATCGACACGTACGAGAATGAGAAGGACGTCGGAGGTCTTGACCATTGTCGTGGAAACGTAATAAGCAGACAGGGTTGACTGCGTAATGAACATCCGTTATTTGGCTGTATTATTTTTGAAGGTGATTGGCCACGCTGCCGAGAATCGAGATCTCTTGACTTGGCATTGGCTTGATCAAATGCCCAGAACGGATTTTTCTTTCTTCACTCTTGAAAAGAGATGCTTGTCACAGTTCACTGCACGGATGGTGCGATCTTCGAAGTTTTTGTGGGCTGAAGAGGTCCTGAATACTAGCTGCGCGATCTAGCTAAAGGTGCGACGATGTGATTTGAGAACCGCCGTGGTTTTTGCGAGGTCTCATCTCTGCAGAATAGCATCGGTTAACCTGCTAATCTACATGCGTATCTAACTGCTTATATACTTTACTAACTCCGCAGCCTGACCGTCAATCATTCATCTTCTGGAAAGAACAGCGTGGTCGGTAAATTTTGCCATAGATTCGATAACATACATACTTCAGACACGCGATTGCCACCAACGCCAGCATCAGGCACTCCCTTACTCCATTCAAAAGGACGCGAGGACATGTCAGGCCTAAAAAAAAGAAACATATTGTTTCGTTGACTCACTGGGCCGAACGCAGCCGAAAAATCAGATCAGAATCGAAAGTACAAAACTCAAAGTCACCCTGATTTGGCTGATTCTCCGCATATCAACGTCGGATATATCGAAGACCAAAAGGGGGTTGTGAGCGGTGATTCACCGACCGACATTCCATTTTGGGACTGGTAACAAGACCTCGATCGGAGGGCACAGAACAATACACACAAACAACCGCTTCTCAATAATGCCACGCACTGGAAGCTTACAACTTTCGCTGAACGCCCAGCCCTGCCACCCACGCCCCCGCCACACACCAACAACAACGACGGCGACGGCACAGACAGCGTTGAGCACATAATCTCGTTGCTTTGCATCACCACCTAGATGGCTCGCAGTCGCCGCGAAAAGAAAAGGGGCCCAACTCCTCGACCATCCGCCAGGTCGTCGTCACGCTCGCCATCCTTATCGGATTCCTCCGTCGTTCAACATGCATCCGTCCTCAGCGAGCATACAGACGCTTTTGGGCCCTCTGTGTCGCGTTCTGGGTCTCCGATGCGACTCCACCCGGACACACTCGAGTCCGATCACACTGTGACGTGCCAATGGGAGGGATGTGGTAGGGTGTTCCCCCATCTTCCACCCTTAATCGAACACATTCGTAATGGTGAGCATAACCCCCGCTTGTTGTGTCATGATGTGTCGTCCCCATGTATCAAAGCAAACGGGCCCCGAAGTTGGAAATTCTACCGAAATCTCTGTTGAATAAGTTGGAAATGTTGACGGGGGGGTCCCCTGTAGTTCACTCCACCTCCATTTTTTTACCGGTGTTTGGATGCTTCGCGGCGCAGGGCCTGACATCGATGTTTTCAATAACGCATGGCTAAAATTTACTTCTTCAGATCACGTTGACGTGCAAAAGTCCAGTTATACCTGTGAATGGGCTGGGTGCCAGCGCGGCGGGGCTCAGCAAATCTCACGGTCTGCCCTCATTTCACATCTCAGGTCACACACGGGTGAAAAGCCTTTCGTCTGCTCCGTTCCAGGTATTCCTGTTTTTCGCTTATCTATCCATAACCCACTCAAATGCTCTTTCTCCACCAAGAATGTGACAAGTCATTCGCCCGCCCCGACTCCCTTCACAAGCACCTACGCAACCAGCACAACATTTCACCACCACCACCAGCCAGGGGAGGTTCCCGAAAACGAAAACGAGCCACTGAAGACGACGCAGGTCCATCCGCACCTCCACCCCCTGCGCCCTCTCCCGCGCCAACCAACAACGCTGGCACATTCAACACCTTCAAGGTCGAATCCCACACACCCTCCGAGGCCGTATTTGAAGATCCACAATCTGGAGCTGGGGCGACCCAGCACGAGTTTCGACAAGATGATTTCACCCCTCACCACTTGTCACATCCGCTCCGACAGCGGAGTGAGAACCAGAATCAAAACCGTGCTCCGACGAATGGGGTCCACCGGTCAGCGTCGCCAGCAGGTCTACCTCCAGGGGGAGATGAAGATGAAGGATACACATCTTCGTCGTCCGACACCCTTCCAGCGCACTTGCTTCCTCATCGATCACCCACGACGGGCTTGGTGCTTGGCCGCTCGCCGGCGATGGTGATGTACCTCCTGATGAAGGCCAAGCATCGGTACGCCTTGGAACAGCACGAAGAGCTGATTGAGCAGTTGAGGGTGATGAAGAAGGAAAAGGAGAGGGAGAAGGAACTAAAAGAGGAGGCGCTGGATCAGTTTTTCCGGGCTATAGCTGGGTATGTCCCGTCTTTTCTTGATTATATCCATCTGACCATGGCCCCTTGGAGCCGTGACGCGGAACAGCTGATGTTCATCGCACAACCCGTTGAATCTGGGTCACACATCCCTATCGTAGGGCCCCCTTCGGAGGGTGGTGGTCCACCCTTTGAGCAGAGTTATTTTGGGAGTATACCGATTACGAATGGCAACGGACGGTCGTGACGGTATTAGTGCGGGTACCCGGAGCGGATACTCGCGGGCTCGTGAGACGGCTTCATTGCCAGTCGACCTGTAACTCGCATGTTGCTACACTTTGGGACCTGTCAGTGGATCCAGTTTGGGATCTGATAATCGTCGGTTTGGCAGGTCCAATTCTGTCTGGTTGGCTGGCTTATTCGCTTTTAAGATTTGTATGGCTATTGTACCGTATGTATGTTGTTTAATTAACGATCTGGATGGACCACTGGACTTTTGTCTGTATGTGCCAAGGGTACGCAACGTATCCATTCTTGTGATGAGATGGGGCAGACACAAAGGATCAATACGTCAAAGTATCTACCTTGTATCTTGTAGGGGTGGCCTACTAGTAACCACCCATCGACACAGGAGCAGTCGTATGTGCGTGGTAGCCGTAGTTGTAGTCACTATTGTGCTCACTAGCCAGACATCATTGGTAGCCGTATACCGTGAAAGTCGTTTACCATTGTTCGATGGTGCTGAGAAAAGGTTGCTGGCGTTGAGAAAAGATTGCTAGCGTTGAGAAAGGTTGCTTTTGCTGAAAAGCGTGGCGATGAGAATGGTTCGAGATGAAGTTCTCCTGCATTGACCTTTTTAGCGATTCCAGACAGGTTGCCTTGACTTTGCCTCGACTGTGATGGGCGACATCATGCTGTAGAGCTGCACGATGACTGCAGCTTGCCAACGGTCTCCTCATTGGAGATGCCTTGAACGTCCGATTGCCCTCGACCCAGCCCAGATACAGCTCGCCAGAAGTTTATAAGCTGTTGCTCACGTACTGCGCTTTCTTTCGCTGGGTGTTATTCAAGTTGGCCTCGAGCAAATGCCAGGCCTCCTGTAATATTTCTTCGGTCGGGCGAGTCATTTGTTATAAATGCGGCTGGCCAAAGGCCTTGAATTGAATAACATTTGCTTCCATCGAGCCCGGGCGCCCATCTGAACAAGCAAAAACAAGCGTCGGGCATAGTACACGCCACGTTGCTCAAGTATGTATGGCGGTTTGGGAACCAAAATGTGGAGTTTTTGAGCACCAAATTTGAAATGCCTGCCATCCATACGCATTTTGAAGGCTCCGTGTCGGAAACCATTGTGTGCAACACCGAGCCGCATCCAGGCCTGTTTCAAGAATCATTGATCATTCTTTAGAGTCAACAATATTGGAAGTAACTGACTCGTTCTGGCCGAAAAGTGACTGCTTTTAGGGAGTTAGCACAGATGCGATGGGACGTTACATTGTCAGGGCAAATACAGGAAAAGACTGGAAAAGACTAAACCGGAAAATATTTCAACAGAGTTTCGGGAGGATCAACCCACGTGGAACTGCCCCACTCTGGGGCCCAAGACTGTGGACGCAGCTTCGGCTCAATGAGCAATGACTCTGGTGTCATCGAATGAACGATTGCCCCTAGTTTATCCAGAGCTTCCTTCGCACTTGGTCGATGTATCGGATCAAATTCGACCATACTCACGAGGTCGTCATCAATCTCGGGAACGGTGCTCTGAAATGCATGGGTGGTGAGCAAGGACCGAAAAAGAAGAGAGAAAAGATAGTGAAGGCAATTTACCCTGAATTCTGTGAAACACAAGGCTAGTTGCCAAACGTCGAGTTTGAAGGGATTATAGGGTTCTCCATTCTCTAACTCGGGGGGGCAAGGACGAGCATATTTTTCCGAATCTGGGAAGGAGCCGCCTACGGGAGGACTTATCGAAATGCAATCGTCTGCGGGGCATTCTGGCGGGAACATTACTGCGACTCCAAGGTCGATCAAATATACTCGAGGACAAAATGGGGCAATTTTCATCGTAACAAGCGAATCCGGCTGCCGTTCAACAACGAAATTATCACGAAATGCGTCCTGCAAGCATCAGGTAAGTGCATCAATCATAAAGCACGTCAGGTGGCTTACTCGATGAGCAATCTTTAAATCGTGAATAAATGCCAGGGCCTAGATGAAGGGGTCAAGAGGATTCAAATAGCAGCGAAATCGGTAGATGCACCTCCAACATCTGCATGAGCATGTAGACAATATCACCGACAGAGTTCCTCGCCCAGAAGTAATAAATATCTAGCATCGGTGCGTCAACTTTGGGGAAAAAACCAAGAACGATATCGTCCACCTGATACTCGGAAAACATGGGAAGAGCATGATTGTTGCTGTAGAGACTATGTTCGCCAGTAGCAATTTTCCTGAGGATCTCGAGGTGTTCATGTCCTTCCCTTCCGACGACAATAACTCGGATGATGACATCATGCCCTTCGCGCGTACGTGCAATTCTTGCAAGAGCGTTCTGCTCAGTGTATTGGTGGGATCCGGTAACGGCAGACGGATGTTGTAATGATACGAACGGTACATTCATATCCACCAAGCCAATTAACTGATCCTGGACCATCCTTGCGGATAGGTGTAACATACGAAAAGCCACCAGATAGTGGGTGGGAATTGCCAGGAGGCCTGCGTTGGGAGCGAAGACTCCGCCAGGATGTAACCGCCACTTGGCAAGACAAGAGTTCCTCCAAATGTTCCAAAGTTCGTCCTCTGCTTCTTCCATCCTCCAAGAGTTCAGACTGTTGGGAAGCTATTGGCAGGAACGGTTACAAAAAAGCTAAGTAGAAAAAGATGAAATAAACCTTTTGCCGAAGCCGTTGACGCTTTCCGCCACTACGCCTCGTCCAAAATGTGTACAACGATACCACGGTCACTGTCGATAATATTGCAGCGGTACTTCGGCAAAGGATTGTAGATTGTGACATAGTGGTTGGCGAGAAGATGGACCAACATGGATCAGGGCCGTCACTGCAGGCCTGGTACTTTTGAACTCCGCTTACAAACACCCGAATCATTTCAATGCCCATGCTTGGCCCATGCTCTTCGCCCTCCCCAACATGTCCCAATCGCCGACTCTGTCCCGCAATATTGCTGCAGCTACCTTGACAATAACAGTCATTCCTGCATCGTTGTACACATTTTGGGCAAGGAATGATCGTGGAAAACGTCAACGCCTTCGACAATCTGTTCGTTTTTTTTTTTTTTGTGACTGGCTTCGTTGTAACGTATCTCTCGATAACAGCTGCCCAGGAGTTTATAAACTTGGAGAATGCCTGGACCTTCTTACGAAGCAGAGGAAATGGTTTGGAAGGATCTGGACGTTTTATTCGCCCGTGAAGCGAATGTTACACTTTGGTCACATACAGGATGCGCAATTCTTCTACCGCCTGATGCCTCTCATCCATTATCCAGTGGATTTGCTTATGGTACACCAAACCGAAAGGAGTCTTCAGTCGGAACCATCAAACATCTTCGCGGCTTTCAGTATAGCGTTCCTAAAGTCCGATTCTAGTTCTTTTATGATTTAATATGATGTCGACATTCAACAGAATCCTCTAACCAGAGTCGGACGTACGCGTGAAGGGCATGACATTATGATTCGGGTTAGTGTTATTGGAAATGAAGGACACGAACATCTCAAAATTCTTAGGAGGCTTGCTAGCGGAGAACATAGCCTCTACAGCACTAATCACACTCTACCTATGATTGCAGAGTTTCAGTTCGAAGATGTCGTTTTTGGGTTTTTTCCGAAAGTGGGTGAGTCACTGAAGCTTGCGTATGATTTCTGGCTAGAGAACTCTGTTGGAGACATTGTCGACATGTTCATGCAGATGTTGGAGGTACACTAACTGAGAAAAAAGAATGTCTGGTCATTTTTTGGACAAAGTTGGTGCTGTAACACAAGAACCAAACATTTTCAGAACTAAGCTCTGGTGTATGAGACATAGCTAAGGAGGTGTAGATTGTACATACCAAGTCTGGGGATGAATGAATGAAAACTCAGGATAAGGCAGAGCATTCACTGTGACAACTTCCAAAAATGGGATTTGACAAAATAGGAAATTCTGAATGACTGCAACCTACTGAAAGCAATTCACAACTTGAGGAAGAGATATTTTGAACACTGGATCTCCCTGCTATTGTTATGAGCTTCATAAAGTCTTTGGGCTAGAAAATTTATATCCTCCCCTAAAAGGTAAATTTGAACTTGTTCTCCACTTTATGTATTTTTCACTCAATATATTTGTTGGAATGAGGAAAAATGACTCCCTATTAATGTTTGTAGTGTGTATAATACAAAAGGTAGGTAGAAATGTTAAAATGACCATTGTATGATGTCTGTAGAAGTTAATTTCCAGAGTTTTTCTCAAAGTAAACAAGTATCTACAACATCAGTCCTTCTTTTCTGCAAGAAGAAAAAATGCTACCACCCTTTTGAGTTAATCCATGGAGACTCAGGATGTCCTTTAAACAACACCTGAAGTATAATATGATAGCAAATAAATTTACACTGGGTATAACTTGAATAGTCCCCAAGAAAAGTACATTTTGCATAGAGCAATGGTCCTGGACCAATCCTTGACATTTTTCTTGGTGAATTGGGGCTGAAAATATTTCACAAGGCACTTCTCATACCTAGGAACACTATCCCAAGGAAATAAACAGAGGTCCTATTCATACAAGGATCTGAGACCCCCAGACCTTTCTAGGCCTGATTTGGAAATCTCTCTGTCATGCTTCAGTGAGCTTTGTGGGCCATTTGAGAAGCATCTGTGCCCAAAACTCAAGAGATAGGTAGAAGCACTTGGCATGGACATTTAAAAACACCCATATTAACTGCAACCCCTTGGAAGCAGGGTTTCTGGGAACCATATTGACTATATGTCTCTTAATTTTCACAGTTTCTTGAAGTTTTATTAGCCATTAAATGCTTTATTCCTGGCAATGTGGTCAAATCAGATCACGGAACAGTAATAGTTATGTATATGTACAATACTATGACAATAGATACCTTCTCCTATCAATCCTGGGCAATATTTGCAACTGCAAATGTCCAAGGAGGGGAATCAATTCAAATTCACTTTTTTGGGGAGACTATAGAATTTTATATCTCAGAGACTTTATGGGGCTTATGACAATAGCAGGGAGATTGAGTGTTTAAAATATTTCTGCTTCAAATTGTGAATTGCTTCCAGTAGGTTGCAGTCATTCAGAATTTCCCATTTTGTCAAATCGCATTTTTGGAAGTTGTCACAGTGAATGCTCTGCCTTATCCTGAGTTTTCATTCATTCATCCCCAGACTTGGTATTTACAATCTACGCCTCCTTAGCTATGTCTCATACACCAGAGCTTAGTTCTGAAAATGTTTGGTTCTTGTGTTACAGCACCAACTTTGTCCAAAAAATGACCAGACATTCTTTTTTCCCAGTTAGTGTATGTTCGACCGGTATTTTTGCTCCTTGGACACTGTTAAATATTTCTATCAAGGCCCTTGCATATCTTCACGATCTGAAGATCGCCTATCGAGTAGGCGATATAATTGACTTGATAATCAATGTTTTTCATCTTAGAATTTGTAGGACACATTCTGCGATAACTTCGTCATCCAATGGCAGCCAGAGTCTCTGCTCACAATGAAGATTGCCGCATCTCGCCCAAGAGTCTATCTGATCGATTTCGAAGTTGCAATAGAGTTTCCACTTGATTGCCCCCCCAGAAGAATGTGTCTGTATAGGTGTCCCAATTGGAGGGTCCTTCCCTCAACCCGAAATGTACTCGTGTCCTTGTCCACTTGAGTTGCTTTCCAGAACAGTCTACTGTCCCTTCAAGCTGGACGTTTGGCAGTTAGGCTGTAGCCTTGTGGAATTTGAAGTAAGTTGTTATCTTTTTTTTCATTGTCCGCGCCATCGCTCACTATCTGTGCATCTTAGAGCACAATCCCTGCCATTGATGAGGTTCTCGCGAGGATGACTGATGTTGACCCAGTACGTCGACTCAGTGCAAGGGAGGCGCTGGATAGATTCTCAACGATTGTTCACTCAATGGGACCTGAGGACCTGCTCATTGACGTCAGCTGCCTGAGCTAAAATGGATTCAGACTGAAGATCTCCCACGTATTTAGACTCTTAAGTCACTGCATGTAGTTGTTACAAATAACTTGGAGCTGGATGGATAGTCTCTTGGATCCCTCCTCTTCAAATGGCTCTCGAATGCGTGTTTTTGCCTTTGTGGCTGACCAGGTCATATTAGTATGCCTATTCAGGGCTTCCGCCGCCATTGACACGAACCCTAGTAAATTTCCGGATCTCGTGCGTTCAGAAACATCGCATCGCTAAGCCGTATCAATTTCCAGTTCAGTGCTTGATCGCAATATTTGTCCCGATTTGCATCACTATTTAGCGTGGGCGTGTGAGCCATAGACTCGTGACCAGTCCTTATATGAGGAAACCCTCTAGAATCGTGAGTTTACGCACATGATACTAGATAGGACCTGTCACAGGTCTATGTGAGCCAATCCAACTTCCACTTTCTCACCACGGCCTCCGAGGATTGAGAGGGACGACTACTGGGTTCTCTGCTTCTATAACGGGTGCTAGTCTCACTCCGTCTGTCATCGTCTTATGGTTATTGAAATATTGACTATGGGTTGCTAGTCTTCAATCTTGATAGGACCTGTCACAGGTCTATGTGAGCCAATCCAACTTCCACTTTCTCACCACGGCTTCCGAGGATTGAGAGGGACGACTACTGGGTTCTCTGCTTCTATAACGGGTGCTAGTCTTACTCCGTCTGTCATCGTCTTATGGTTATTGAAATATTGACTATGGGTTGCTAGTCTTCAATCTTTCACGAAATATCAAAGTACTTATCGGCGAATCAGCCCGCCTGTAAGCCCACAATGCGCACAAAGTATATCAACAGCTCGAAGACTCAATGGTAGTCTGCACATCGAGGAGGTCTCCATATGGAGACTGACTGATACGGGCGATGTGGCTTGGGTGCCACTGTGCGTGGATTGATAGGAGCTACGCGCGCCATTTAAGCTCTTTAACGGGCGGATCATTGATGAAGCTCTCAAAGATTTTTGCTATAAACGATAGCTCTATGATCATCCACGTCGAAAGTTCCCCCACTCGAAACCTTCATGGATCAATTGAACGCTTCGTTTCCTATTCTCGGCACCTCAATGGTCCTTTTATTGGTCGCTGCTTTACATTGGGGCCTCACGAGGCCTAAACGCTCAAAATATCCGTATCCTCCAGGCCCCAGACCGAAATTTTTGCTTGGAAACTTATTGGACATCCCGGCGAAGAAGATTTCAAAGGTATATGTTGAATGGGGGAAGCGATATCAAAGTAAGGTCATTTCCTTTTCGAAAGGACATCGATAACTCAATTATCACTTCTAGGCAGCGTTATCCACGCGGAAGCACTCGGAAACCACATCGTCATATTGAACTGCGTTAAAGATGCAAAAGAATTGCTTGAGAGGCGATCCCAGATATATTCGGATCGTCCCAGGATTCCAATGGCCGAGATGTAAGTTTATAGCTCGAACCTTCGAGGAAAGCATTTTGAATCGTAGCTATGTAGAACGGGTTGGGATTTTTCTATCGTGTTGATGCCGTATGGAGAAAAGTGGAGGACGGCCAGGAAGATCTGCCAGCAGAATTTTCGGAAGAAAGTAGCGGGAAGATTTGAAGCAACGCATACCAGAAAGATCAACGATATGCTTCGGGCGTTACTTTCGACTCCTCAGGACTTTGCTTTACATTCCCGAATGTGAGTTTTTGCTTTGGGGGTTAGTCTTAACTCCAATCAGTGCATTGCAGGGTGTCGGCGGCTATCACGATGTCCACTATGTATGGGTACGATCTATCGTCCATGAATGACCGCTTTGTTATGGTTTACGACCGAGCTTCAAATGAGGGGTCTCGATGGTTTTTGCCTGGTGCCGCACTTGTTAATTCAATTCCTGCCTTTCGTCATCTTCCATCCTGGTTTCCTGGTACCTGGTTTAACAAGGTCGGAGAAGAGCTGAAAGTTTTGACTACGGAACTGCAAAACGCACCGATGGACTACGTGAAGAAGAGAATGGTATGTTTATACACAGCGTTGATGCACCTCTACTCATGCCACTCAGCTTGAAGGAAACGCAACGCCCTGTTTGGTTTCTAGGGCTCTTGAGAGCTCACTATCGGAAGAAATGGAAAATTCGGTAAAAGGTGTGGCTGGAACTGTTTACGGTGGTAAGTTCAGAGCACAACATCTCATCCGATCTAATTGTCAGACGTTGTTCACCTTCAGCTGCCTCTGATACAGTTAGTGGCTGGCTTCCGGTCGACCCATGATCTATATTCTTAGCATTTATTCAGACTATCTCTGCCACCACTACTTTCATCTACGCGATGACGACTCACCCAGAAGTTCAGATGAAGGCTCAGGCTGAACTTGATCGCGTTGTTGGAACTGACCGCCTGCCTTCTTACGCTGATCGAGCATCTTTACCTTACATCGAGGCCATCTACCGTGAATTGTTGAGATGGAGGCCTCCTCTCAATATGGGAGTTCCGCACACGTCCACGAAAGATGACAACTACGAAGGATATTTCATTCCGAAAGGTTTGTTTGTATTCCATTTTTTTCTAAAAGCTCCACTCATTTTTATTCTTAACAGGGACCGTTGTAATGAGCAATATTTGGTGAGCTTAGCGGGTGCGCTGAGCCTGTTTTCTATATTTACACCTCGCAGGGCGATGGCGCATGACCCGGCTGTATACCCCAATCATGAAGAGTTCGCGCCGGAACGGTTCTTTAACCTTGAAGGGAACTTGAACAAAGATGACTTTATTTTGGCCTATGGCTTCGGTCGAAGGTGAGACTACTCATCAACACAAGCTGTCCGTTGGCCTGACAATCGCACCAACAGGGTATGCGCTGGCCAACATTTGGCGAGTTCCACGGTCAGCATTTTCATTGTGGACACGCTCATCGACTTACATCCATTGATTAAAAGATGTGGTATATCATCGCATCCATTTTGGCGACTTTTATCATCAAAAAAGCCATAGACGAAAATGGAGAGGAAATCGAAATCGATGATGCGTTCACTGATAACAGCCTCGTCAGGTTCGGTCCTTCAGTTTTACTATACTGGATTTCTGCTCAAATTTGAGATAGCCACAAAACGCCTTTCCAATGTTCGATCACCCCGCGCTCTGACAAGGCAAAGAGGCTGGTCCAGGAGACGGGTTTACAACAGTAGCTCACGCGGAAATCGTTCGACGATGACAAGAAAGCAGCAGTAAATTCTCAACGCACCTGCCAATGGGGACGCCTACTATTGAGACGTGGTCCAAAATCGTTTGAGGACGGGATGGGCAATCTTCATCGAAGTTGTCACGAAAGACGTCCTAGTACGAAGCAAGATTAAGTTTTTCTGCTATAGGTCAATCATATTTCCTACCCCATGGACGATTTTCGGGTCGTGAATATATTCAAAGGGTTTTGATAAAAATTTTAATAGCATTCAGGTGCTAATCAAAATTGAACACAAGGGGCTCATAAACGATGCCGACATGTTGCGTTGCGAAAACCTTGCAGTGTAAAGGGATATTTACATCGCTGATCTACCACGACATCTAACTGTTTCTGACTGCGTGCACTCACTTGGGCTCTATGAGTAGGGACTCGGGCGCCATCGAATAAACTACGGTTCCCAGTCTATCTAGCGCCTCTTTCGCACTAAAGTTGAAATCGATCTCTAAACGCGAAATTTACCCATTCACATACCTCGCGTCCATTTCAGTACCGGCGCACTCACAGCGCTTCTGACTATATATAAGCGAGTCACATACAAAATGCGACAAGCGCATGAAAGAATCCTCGAAACATATTCGCTAGTAGTACCTCGTCATTGGTATTACGGAAACCAGTTCACTTGTACTAAGTATTGCAATTCACCACACTGGCGAACAATTTCATAATAACGAGTCCACAAAACAAAATTCATTCGGGAGACTATTCGTTAGGCCACCCCGATATTCTTACTCATGGGCCTCTTCCTCATCAAACTCCGGCTTCCCAGGTCCAGTAAGCACAATAGTGAAAGCACGCCACGTCCCAACTCCCTGGGCATTGCCCAATTTCACAGTCGGATAGGTCTGTTCCAATAACTCAGAAAAATTTTCATCCTAACCAAGATTAATCATCACGCACTTTGTTGATCTCGTTGATAGTGGCGTTATCAAGAGTAAGAGCGTCGCCATTTCCCCATCCCAGCCAAGCTTGTGTAACCGTAACCACGGGCGTGCTTCTGAAAACGGCGTCATATATTATCTGACAAATTAAGAATGTTTCCGCGACCTGTGATGATCTCCACTGTACAAACTTACTTGATACTGTCCAACCGTGCTGGTCTTGTAGACTGATATTTTCTTCTTGGCGGGTAAGCCATAGGGAGGGAAAACAAATGAGGCGTCAACGTTAACAAGTGCAGATACAGTGATGAGAGACATCTTGATACCGATTTGCAGTCCCACATCTCACTTTATATACTCCAGCCAGAGTACATTATTAAGCCAACTGGTGGGAGACGTGAAAACAAGGAAGCAGAGGAACAATAGCACAAATAACGCACAAACTTCCGACACGTAAAAAAGTCGAAAAAGACGAGCATAGAACTTTGAAACGAACCCTCGGACTCGTAACTTCGTCCATCGTGTACGTCTAGAACTCTCTACGCAAGGAGGCACGTTTGCTTTCAAAGTAGTAATATTAATGGCAATGAGCTCAGTCAAAGGGCTGCCAATCAAAGTAACCGTTCTCTTGGGTCGCTATAGTATCCGGGATTTTAAGACCTCATCTCTCAGTTGATACGCAGCGTTTTCATATTTAATTGAGTAATCTCTTTTTGGTGCTCATTGGTTGGAATATTGGGAACGGTTTGGTGGCGGATGGAAAATTGACAAGACTGGCAAGCCAGGCAAATTGACAAAACAATGTTCCTCGCCCAGCGCGTTCACAAGACTTCGGGAAATGCTTGAGGTCGAGTCGTCATTATTCGAACGTTGAAAACTGCGTCGTTTTTTTTTGGCATTGACAAGGACACGTAGAATGCTTTGTGCGCTCATGTTTGAGGTGAAGAATCGTTATTAGCCGTACATGGTACCTGGGTAGTAGGAGGGTCAGTTGGAAGTTCCTTTGCGCCAAATTCACGATATCGCTTATACGAATTGACAGGGCTGTTAGATTAGACTGAATTTTTTCACAGAACTACGTGCCTACAGGTGATAAGGCTAAGTATCGTGCTTCTTACCCTCTGCTTCAAGTTGTCATTCCAGTTTGAAGTGCATTAATGGATGGCGAAGAGCATGGACATCATTCGCAAGCATGACGTCTTTTTTCGCCACCAACGCAACGACTTCTTAGCATTAATGTCGCTGAAAAGCCTCACCGATTACGTTGACCACCAAGGACGAACTCTGAGCTTGACTCTGAGAGCTTTTGACTGGCGGTGACAGAGAAAGGCGAGGACAATCAAGGACAAATAGAAAGCAAATCGAACTAAGCAGTGACAAACTGCTCTAACCCGACGTCCACAGTGACCTTCACACACCTTGCCCGCAATTCCATAGGGGTTCCGAAGTGGACATGTTGCCAACAGCGTTGATGTTGTGTGGTTCTCGCATTGTCCGCCTTGACTTTCGACGTCGTCCTCGCATTTTTACTTGCATTGACATGAGTCCCCCAAGAATCCCCCGGACGTGTTCACTCAAGAACTGCGATTGTGAAAGTTGAAGTAGTACGGTACGTCTTTGCAGTTGTCTTTGCTTCATCCCGGTTGCTGATTTTCTTTGTGCTTTAGATATCATCATGTCCGGCACTGAAGTACTGATGAGTTATTTCTCGACTTTTAGATCTCATTACAGCATTCTCAAAGCTATCGCTGAAAGACCCACCGATCTACAATGTCCCAAATGACATATCATACATCCTCTTCCGCCTCGTCTGCGCGGGGCCGCCTTCCCTGGAAGCCTCAAGCAAGCACTGGCGCTCACGCACGTCTGCAACTCATGGCGTGTCATCGCCATCCATATCCCCCATCTCTGGACGTACGCTCGCATGTTCCACGGAAGCTGTCTTGGTCAATTTGACGAGGGCCGCGTAATCGTGTTCTCGTCGTCAGCTCCCTCCTCAGACGATCGGCTCGCCTGCCGTTCGAGTTCCATCTTCTTGGCAAGGACTTCGTGAATATATGTTGGAGTGCTCGGTCGGATGTTGCTCCGATGTTTGAACAGGCGTTTAAGGCTGGGAGTGTGACGTGTGAGAAGTTGCGCCTTGCAATTCCGTCGAATAGGCATTTGGATATGCTTTTGGATGGGGTGAAGGGATGAGGATCCCCGTTTTGAAGCGGGCTGAGTGGATTATCGTTGGTGGTGAGCACTTGGTTGTAGACCTTGAGCCGAGCGACTTTGTCGATCAAGTATCTTCTTGCACCCCAGTTGTCCTTCACCCCGCGTTGCATTGAAGGACACTGTCGTTTATCTGGCTTTGTACAACCACCAGCCTGTGTACGGAACGGAATCCGCGATCCAATTGGAGCCGGTGTGCCTCCCAAGACTCCAGCGTCTGGATATTGGGTACATGAAACGATTGGATTCGTCAAGCTGCTTTTACTTCCCGTGGTCAAACATCTCTCGGCGCGCGATTTCGGCGGATGTCCGGAGACGAATGAGCAGATTACGCCAACTCACTACGGAAGAATGGAACACCAATCGAAGCAAGGACGCGTATCAGCCTCTGGTCGGCTTCGTTGATCGGTTATCGCTGCTCAATCCAAGGACCGGGCTCTTGTTAAATGGGACATGTACGGCGTCATGTGCCGAACGACAACACGCTTACTTGTACTCGAACCGCTTCGGGACCTGGTTCTTGGCTTGCACTGTCGAGCGATGGTTCAAAGCGATGGGCGGTTCCCACAACTTTCGAATATCATCATCACTGGATGGTCGCGTGGACATTTGAAGAGCCTGAAGGAACTGGTGATGACTGGATATCCTGTACATACGATGTTGCTGGATTATCTGTGTGCGTGGAAGAGCGAGGGTTTGCCAAAATTGAAGAGCCTTGGCGTTTGTTCTAGGATGGCTGCTTTTACGCATTTCTTTGAAGAGTTTGTGGAGGCGCAGCCTCAGCCTGCCGTTGCGGAGAGCTGATTTTTTGAGTTCTTGGACTGTTTCTACGCCTATGCTTACATTCTATGCTCTATGCTCTATGATTTTCTTATGCTTTCTCATGCTTTACCTATCCTCTGCCTGGATCACGTCTTGGACATGCAATCTCGTCTCAGGTCGCTTTGTACATGTTTTCTCGAAGCAAAGTAACTATATGCGCTCCATTCTTTCTTTCTTTCCACTACTACTACCACTACCACCATGCACACTATCTCGCCCATCCGCCTCTCGCCACGACGTAGGCCCGTCATCTGGCTCGTCCTCCTCGTCACCGTCGCATTCCTCTTTTCACGCGTTGACCGCTGTAGCCATACCATCTCACAGTCTATACAATCCACATTCCTATCGCCTAGTACTCTGACTGTCAGCACAGAGACAACACAGCCGGGGAGTAACACGCATGGTTTTAACTTATTCGACAATTTGTATCTTAGGAATGGGACCTTCTATATCGTCACGTCTACACCTTCCAGCTTTATGCCCAGGAACCATATCGTATCGCGGCCGACTCGTCGAGGGGAGGGTATTGATATCCAGGCCACTGATCAGGTGTGTATTTCTGTACTTTATTGATTTTTTGAGTCTGCGTACAATCTTATGAGTAGGAGCTCCAATTCCTCACCCCCGCCGAGGCCAAAGGCATATTGGGCGACAGGGCGATATCCATCGCAGGGTTTTCCGTAATATTTCACGACCCGAGTCAATTCATGAGCGTGAGTGTATGCGCCTCCATTTTCAACGCACGGTATTTTTGATGAGATGCCGAAAGCACTTTTATCATTGGTGGGGCGAACTCATCCTTGGAACGTTCAGGGTCTACTCCACGCTACAACAGTCCCGGTATATCGCGCCTACGCGATTCTTGCTCCCGGTACGTTCGTTAATTTTTGAATATATGCTATCAATTGACGTGCTTCAGAACGTCGCGGGCGACGCTTGGAGAGACGGTACAGGTTTAAATGGACCGCTCATGCGCGCCGCCTTTCCTTCTTCACCCATTGAAAACGCGGACTGGTGGGCTGATATACTCAGGCTTGGTTCGTCGACATTTGTTTTTGAGAGGGCGATGTTGGTAGATAGGGCTGCGGCGCATAAAAGGTGTGTTCATCGTTGCTAGCTCAATATATGCGCATTAACGAATTTGATAAAGCCCGCTCTCGAGGAATTGGCATAAAATGATATCATCGACGATGGAATTAGCAGCCCCTTCGCAGTTCTGGGACCCCATTCGCGAAACGATCGTGGGTAACTTCGTTGGACCTGACCTTCCTCATCCAACGAAGCCGGTCGTCACGTATATCACTCGACAAACTCCCAACAGACGTCGGAAGCTCTCGGATTCGAGCCACGAGTCGCTTTTGTCAGCGTTGGGCGAGCTGCAAAAGGAGGGTGTATGTGAGGTACAAGTGGTGGAGGAAACCGAAGGCGTGAAGTTGGTTGAGTTGGTTGCGCGCTCCACTGTTATCATTGGTGTTCATGGTAGCGGCTTGACCGTGGGTTCGCTTCCCAGAAATTCTGTGTTCCGGAGGCCTGATTTTTGCCCATATATGCTAGCATCAACTTTGGATGCCGCCTTCCCCACTCTCGACGATTATTGAGATTTTCTTCCCCAATGGTACGTTGATTTTCTTTTGTTGTAGATCGCAACGCGTCTCAATTTGAGTTTCTAAGCCTACTCTTTCGACCATGAAATGATCGCCAGGAATTTGGGACATCGGGTGAGCTTTCCCTCCGTCATCCTTGATCCCCTTTTGCTCAATTTGTCGAAAAGCATTACGCCGTGTGGAATGACACGCTGCTCACTTATCCAGAAGGACGGTATCACCCCAAGGTACGTCATCCGTCGCGTCTTCTTGTCAATACTAATTTATGTCGTTGATCAGATCAAGTATGCGGAACACCTCGACTTTCGTGGATGTAAGATTTCGCATATGTTCGATTGTTTATAACGTACTGACTCTGGATGTCTGTTGTAAAGCCGAGATGCCCGTTCACGGACCGGCGGTAGCTGCTGCTATACGTGCGAGACTTCAAGTTGGTTCTGGTGTTGAACCTGAATCAGTGATGCATTTGGATGAGTCGCACCAAATGGCGTTGGCGCTGGATTCGGGACGTGAGGTATTGTGATTCTAGGCAGGCGGCCGGGGATTGGGTGGGCGCATGTCCGCTTTTCCTTTGGCACGAGGGTTTATGGGTTCTTTCGTGATCAAGTTGTATTTTTATTTTTTGGAGCAATTTTGGAGAGTCGTGAGCGCCTAAATCGTGACTAAAAATAACAATCGGACCAAGTGATCCCGGAACAACAATTTGGGCTTTGACTGTGGTTGTAGCCTCCGCCTTCACCTTTCCTTAACCATCCTCCGCCCTCATCACGAACAAAGTCATCTGCGTCCTGTTCCCAGTTTATGTACTCGCTCTCGCTTCAAGTTTACGCTTTAGTAAAACAAATGCTTTAAAACCTTCAACTTGCGGTCACTCGGCACCCAAGGAAGCGTCGTCCAAGCGCCGTCACTTGAATTATCAACGAAGCAACATTAATTTCGCTAGAAAATTTTGTCGATTATGTTGACCGCCAAAGGTCGAATTCGGAATGGACTCATCATTGGTGAAAACTCGAATAACCATCGGAAATGAAACGTTGCGTGAAGATTCAAAGTCCATTTCCGTGTGCGTTGCGCGCCGTGGCCCGTCTCCTGTCGCTAACATCTAAAATAACTCCCATGGGCGCGCCGCTCGCTATCCAGGATCCGGGATTCTCACAATACCGACACTGCCAGTCTCATCTCTCAATTCAGCGTCTTCAGAAATTTTGCTCGAAGATGTACTCTGGCTGGAGTAGTATATAAGGTGAGCTGCAGTCCGGGGACTGACTGCAAATCAATATCCTTGAAGATGTCTCTCATCACTGTATCTGCAATTGTCAACGCCGACACCTCCTTTGCTTTTCAACCCTATGGTTTACCCCAGAACAAGAGTATATCAGTCTACAAAGTGGCCTCTATCGAAGGAATGTATCAGGTATGTTCAAGCCACGGCGGTAACAGGTCGCGATATCGCGGTGACATTACTTCATTTTTTTTTTTCAGATAATCTATGACACCGTTTTCGCGAGCACGCCCGTGGTTACGGTAACACAAGCTTGGCTTGGAAGTCTTGGTAGTGCGGGCGGTTTGACTATTGATAACGCTGCTATTAACGAGATCACGAAGGTGGGTAATGATTTACTTGATGTATGAAAGATTTATCTGAGTCGTTGGAACAGACGTATGCGACTGTGAAGATGGGGGACGGCAATGGAAATGGGCAATGGCGTCCTTTCACTGTTGTGCTTACTGGATATCAGAACGTCACCGACTTGAAGAAGCCGGAGCATGAGGAAGATGACGATGAGTAGTAGGAATATTGGTGGACTGACGAACTTTGGACTGTTGAATGACTGGTTGAAAGGTTGGGAATATTGGTAGTGCGTCTTCTCCCTGAATGGACTTTTAGTTTTTTTGTATGGACTCGGTTACTAGTATGAAATTGTTCTGGTGGATACGGTGAGCAATGAAAGCAGTGTACTGGTTTTCGAAATACCAATGATGAAATGCGAATATGTCTCGCGTCTTCTTTCCGAGTGAACTTATCGTATTCGTAGTATGCGATTATCCTGAGTCGGACGCAAGATGTGAACGACTGCGAGCACTCAAATTCAAGAGAATTGACGCGAGGGTACATCAGGAAAAAAAGTAGTTGCGACATTGCACAACATAGTCCTGATAGCTACAGTAGCACCTTTGCAACCCCCCCTTTATATAGCACCCCATAGCATCACCATCAGTTTATATAGCACTATAATTACATATATAGCCTTACCTGCTCACGGCATAGCTCCCCATGGTATCATATTAAGGAAGTCCTGTAGTTGTACATAGACAGTATTGCACGAGATAGCACATATAGAAATCCCCTTAGAATGAATGCAGAATAGATATATATTTCAGTTTACAAACAGCATCTACGAAGGATTACTACATGATGCTAGTCAATAAGCAATGTCACCATCACCGCCTGTCTTCAAACTCTCCTCGTGCTCCCGGTGTTGTCCCGCGGCGTGGACACCACCTTTGAGCGCCCAGGTCACGTCCCGCCCTCCATTCCGGAACGATGCGACGACACTCCAGAAGCTGACGGCGATCAGGGCGCCTGTGATGGAGGCAGCAATGAACCCTGCGAGGGACTTGCGTGGTGTGAGGGGAAGGCGGAGGATGGGAAGGTGTGTTGGGAGCTTGCATGTGTTGAAGCCGTAGAGGTGGTCGAATGTAAACGCAGCTGTGTCGGCCCATGAAAGACTAGAATGAGGGAGGTTAGGCAGTGGGTAGGATGAGTGAGGAGGGGGATACGTACATGAGGATGGCTACAGTTGTGACATCTTGTGGGTATAGCGAGAGGACAAAGACTAAAGTTGACTCCGAGGATCCACGCCGTTTGTTGAGTTCTGTGAAGGACTTAGCCTGAAATGTGATGACGGAGGAAGAAGCATGAGCTTACCTTTTCGCTTTCCCACATGAGAAGGAGAGGGTGTACATGTGTTGGGCGTTAGCGGTGACATGCAGGAACTGGGGGCGCTGCTCGTGACGGTGGTGTTCTCAAGTGCTTGTTTCGCGTGTTTTCGAGTTGACAGAAAGAAGGTGGCAAAGACGAACATCGTCGTTTTGGGGGGGAAAGCGTAGAGGGGTATGAATGGAGAGACACTGGGTGTCAGTTGAGGTTGTATGATGAGGTTGGGTGGGTGTGGTGGATTGATTATGTCGTATCAGTTGCAATGTCAACCACGGTCGTCGACGGTGGCTCTCTGGGTGGCCACTGATCATCACGACATGATCGAGAGACATTTGAGGAGGTATATGTTGAACGAAAGCCACATGACTGCCGTTGTTGAAAGGGAGGGGTTGTAGGAGAGGCAACAGACGAAGACACGATTGTGGTTGGACTTTAGGCGATGTGTATGAGGCGGGATAGGTTGATTGAAAGCCGAACAAGGATTGTTGGAAAGGGGGGGTGACAGGCGAGCGGATAGGGCATTCTGATTCGAGCAGGTGATGGGGAAGAAAGGAAAGAACGAGACAGAGATGAAGATTTTTCAAAGATCTTCAACCATCATGTGACCGGATCGTGAGCCAATACAAATTACAACTCCGATTATCCGATGGTCGTGCGCGCTAATTTTTGTCCAAGTCACATAGTATGTTTGATCAACCCCCCGAACTTCGTACTAGCATGCCCGGCTCTCGAATTGCTTGTAGATACATTTTCTGTTTACTGCATCCCAAGCCATTAATTGATTGAGTATGAAAACCTAATAGTAAACTGTCTATGAGAGTAGTGTTGCCACGAGGTGAACCGAAGCGAATCGAAGTGGGGAAATGTGTTCACTTCGATCCACTTCGGTCTTTCGAAGTGAATCGAAGCGAATTCGGTGATCCCCGTAAATTGATCAGCCAATAATATCGTTCGCATTCTTGGTGCTGAACGTTGTAGTAACTTGTCGTGTACTTGAATACATGATGTAGTATTTACTTAGTATCACGCAGGTACTTTAGTATCAATATCTTTCGAGTTCTGAAATAAATCCCCGTCAAAAGCAGCCTCCGTTGAGATAGTGTAATCCTTCTTGCACGCTTCGCAAACAAAGAAAAGAGAGAAGGAGGATGAAGAGCAGGGCTCTCATCCGCAGGTCTGCCTTCATGCTGAAAATGGTGGGGCGGGGGAGTGAAATACAAGCTGAGCATGAGTCGGGTACTGGCACATGTGCCGCTACTGTTGCGCTACTGGATCTTATATTGGCGTTGTCCATGTCATTCAGCTACGAGATCAGCGACGAAACTGAGACGGTTTTCTCATATGAGAACTTCAGCACTCGCAAAGCCTCGATATTCTCTGTGCAAATCTTGTCGCGTCGCAGAGAACAAATTTCTTTTGAGACTTTATAGTCGTGATGTTCACCCCTCCTTCCTAAGCAAATTTTATCATACGACACTCATAAATTGAAAGAAACTGGTACTATACATTCAGCCACATAAAACTGGTGTGATTTAAGATTGTATTGGGGAAGGGAGGGAGGAGAAAGAGGGAGAGCGTCGAATCGCGACTGTAAAGACCACTAAACGCGCCTCGACGTGCTGCTTCACGTGCGCCAATCTTCCTTTTCCAGCCATTATTGATGGCCATCACAAATTCACCTCGACTCACTTCGATACCTCGAAGTGACACGAAGTGGTGTGATTTTCGAACCGAATCGAAGTCACCTCGAAGTCACTTCGCTTCGACGGCAACACTATATGAGAGGCTTGTAGCACTGATAGCCACTGTAGTGCATGGCAGCAGCTACAGACCCGATGATAGATGTGGCGGCACATCTGTCAGCCCTATTGCACAACACGGTGGACCGACGGTCTACAGACAACAATCAGCACGATGCTGAGATCTGCCAAGCTATTGATGTCTACAACAGGTTCGATCGGCTACTGATTTAACCGGAGATCTACCGGCTAAAACTTTTTTTCCTGATGTAGTAAACGAGAAAATTTACCTTCAACAATGTAAGTCCTCTTGTAAGGGCAAGTTCCGGGAGCGGTTCCTAGTGCAGCAAGCCCTAAAAAGGGTACATTTTTTTTTTTTTTTTTTTTATTATCTCGAGATTTACGTGCAACAAGTAGTCTAGTACTAAGACGCACGGGAAGCGTATGGCTTCCCTTTTAGATGTAATTATGTCGTGCGGGCTTTCCATTACGTGAATTTGGGTGTCCGATGTGTAGCTGTATTGTATAAGAGATGTGTAGGGTTGTGTGCAGGGGCCAGAGAACTGGAGGTCAGAGTCGAGTGCGTCGTGGCGACGCTAGGGGCATGGCGGGCGCTCTTGCGCTCGCGGGGGATTGGGTCTGGGTGTGGGCATCGTATGGGTGTTATGGTTCAGCGTCGGACTCATCGTCTTCTGAGTCCTCGTCTGGGGGTTCTGGTTCGTCCTGGAAGGATGGGGTTTCTTTTGGCATGTGCTTTTCTCCCGTGAATGTGAACGCGCCGGAGTCTCTTATGAAGATGGATAGGGCCGTGATGCCTTTGGGGGTTCCCAGTAGTTCTGGGAGTGCCAGTTCACGGTCGTGATCACGTAGCTTGGCCCGTTGGTCCTCGTACCGTTCGCAGTCTCTTATAATGTGCTCGCGCGTCTGTGGGTCCACTCCGCATTCGCAGTTTGTGGTTTTCTCTGGGAAGAATTGTCTGCGGAATTCTCCTGTATACGCGTGCCCGGTTCGACACTGTACCAAGCGGCCGAAGACTTCACGCTGGTCTTTGAGTTCGACGAAATGTTTGGATGGGTTGAGGGAAGGGGGAATCCTGTTGGATATTGCGAACCTCCCCTTGCGTGGGGCCCTCTGCCAGTCCCTGGTCCACGCGGATTGAGTCGAGGCCTTGGCCCTGCGAAGTGCGAACGCCCTTGATGTGCTGATTGGTGCGCCCCAGGCCATCTGTGTAGCCTCCTTGGCGAGTTCGTCTGCCCTGTCGTTGCCCTTGATGTTGCAGTGGCTCGGACACCATGCTATCTCGATTGTGTGCCTCGGGTCGTTGTCTAGGAACCTGGCCATCTTGCGGTGGAACTTTGCTGCGTACAACTGTCCCGGCCTCGGCTTGGGGTCGAATATGGCTTCAGCTGCTGCTGAGTTGTCGACGAAGTAGTGTATTGTTGATATTTCCGGGTGGTTTGCAATGTATTTCACTGCCAAGCTTGCGCCCATCTTCAATCCCGCCATTTCTGCGTCGTATACCTCCGCCCTTCCTCCCATTCCCATTCTCCCCACAAACACCTCCCTTCCCTCATGGTACCCGACCGCTCCCGCGCCGACCTGTGGAAATCCCTTCTTCTTCACCATGGACCCATCCGTGTACACTACGAGGCTTTCTTTTCTCTTTGATAGTTGTTGGTATTTTTCTTTATGACTGTCTATTAGTTTCTGTTTTTCTTTTTGATCTTTTGTTTCCGGTTTGCATGCGTTGATTTGGACTCGACCGCCGAAGCTTGAACCCGTTCTTCGCCAAGGGGCCACCAGGTAGGGGTCGATCCTTTCATGTGCGTGGCACGTGAGTTTTGCGATGTTGAGGAGGTTTGTTGTCCTCGCGTTGTCAGTGGCCGAGTTGTTGTACAGCTTGGGCTGAAGAGGTGGTGGTGTGGTATTCTCCCCCGGCTTCCTCCACGCCTTCGGGAGACGTTGGATGACGGGGCTGGAGGCGCTTAGCTTGTTGAATGTTGAACTTCCCTTTGCCCACAGTTTGCAGTTTGCGATGGAGTTGAGGGAAAAGTAAGGGGTGGGAGTTCTGTCTGATGATGATGTAAGCCAATTTCCATTCAACGACGCGTCTCCTCGGCACACATAACGAGTACGCGTAACCATGTGCTCAAAGCTCTGTAAAGACTGACGATGACGACCCTTTTCTTTGCATGCAACCATCCAACTTCATTACCTTGATCTTCGTATCTCTTCTCCTCGTCGCAGCCGCCACCTTCCTCTCAAAGTCAACCATGTCCTCTCTCGCCTCAATCCGATCCTCAAACACCGCCTTTTCTCCGTCTTACCCACCCGTAGCCCTCTTCGTTGGTGGGACCTCTGGAGTCGGCCAAGCTATGGCGGAGGCCCTGGGGAGATACACAAAGGGAAACGCAACCATCATCATCGCAGGGCGGAATCGCGCCGCTGCAGACGCTATCATCGCCAAGCTCCCCAAACCAACGACCCCGGGCGTCTCTCACGAGTTCGTCGAATGCGACGCGACGCTCATGAAGAACGTGCGCGCCGCGACGAAGGAGATCCTCGCTCGTCATCCTAAAATAAATTTTCTGGTCATGTCGCCTGGCTATTTGACGCTGAGAGGTCGAGATGAGACGGAGGAGGGGATTGACCGGAAATTGGCATTGAATTATTATGCGAGGTGGACATTTGCAACTGATTTGTTGCCTGCGTTGAAGAGGGCCAAGGAGGACGGTGAAGATGCGAAGGTTTTTTCGGTGATGGCTGCGGGCAAGGGTGGAGAAATTGATGTTGAGGACTTGGGGTTGAAGAAGACGTACTCTGTTACAAAGGCTGCGTTGGCGTCGCCTACTTATAATGATCTTATGATGGAGGTGTGTGGTTCTCTTCTTTATCGGGGTCTATTCTTAGAATCCTGCAGGAACTCGCTGATCGGAACCCGGACCTAACGTTCATACACGCCCATCCAGGCGTCGTTCGCACCAACATGTTGAATTCCGCTCAGTCAACAATCCTCCGGGCAACATCTGGTATCATAAGCGTTCTAGTATACCCCTTCTCGGTAAACCCGGAAGACTGTGCCGAGTACATGTGGCATGGGATGTTTAACAGCACCAAAGGCGCCTTCCGTATCGGTTCTTATGGAGAGAACATCGCCAAGACACGATACTTTGGTACAGAAGCGCAGAGGAAGAAGTTGTGGGAGCATACTTGGGAAATTACGAAGAGCGAGTAACTGGCCGTACCTCACGGACACTTCACGAATCATGCTCTTCATTTTTAACTGCGTTCAAAAAATTCAAACTCACAAAAAAACGGGTTATTCTGTCATCAACTTGAACACTTTGTAACGGCAAGGCATGGCGGATGCCATCCCGCCCTTGGCACAGTGCCGGTAGCGATTCCTGCTGTAGCAACCCAGCCTTCCGCAGTACCAAACTCATCAATTTCGCTTCCCTCTCCATTTTCGTCTATGGCCAACGAAGCCAAAAGCCAAAATAAAGTCATTCTTGTTCAAGTTCCCAAACAATTCACGACCCACGCCGACAACGTTCTGAGTTAAGGAAGACGAGCCAGATGACGGGCTTGCGTCGTCTAGCGAGCATGGTGGTGGTGGTGGTTAGAGAGAAATAATAGAGCGCATATAATTAGTTACGTTGTTTCGAGACAACAGTTACAAAGCAAGCGAGGACGAGACAACGAAGATGAAATTAATTGGAAATCTAGACAGAGCATAGGTAAAGCATAAGAAAGCGTAATGCATAGAGCATAGAATCATAGTAAGCATAGGCATAGAAACAGGGCACAGGAAAATCTGTGTGCCATCTGCAGACACCTGCGGACACAGGTTGCGTGCCAGTTGCGAACCGAAAAGAAGTATCTGCGGTCACTTGCGTGCAGACCAATCCAGTTGCGTGCACATTAGACCTAGTGAGCCGAGTATCTGCGGGCATCTGCGAGCATCAGTGCACCTTGCTGAGATTTCATATTTCTTGAGATTTCTTCAATGAGCACCATAATTATCCTTCTAGTTTAATGTATCTGAATCTCTCTGATTCTTCCTGACTTGTTGGTTTGTACCTATAGGTCTGTACTAAGACCATTTTTATGCTGAAATGTACAAGTAACGCAGTGTCTGAGGCTATGACTAGTCAGCCACCGGCTTCTTACCATTATTTTCCTTCTTTATCAGACATGATTGTGGTCGATTTTTTTCCAGAGACTTCGGGACTCAATAGCCAATGTCTGCCATTGGCGAGTGATGGAGTCTCACCTCTCGTTCAGAATCGCTCTCTTCTTCCCATCCCAACTTGATTCCACACCAAACGAGGGACATTAGGGAAAACCAACTTTGGAAATCGACGAAAATCTCTTGTTATTTCCTGACTACTTTCCCAGAAAACCTGGATTCCGGTGTTTCCCCCAATTTCCTTGATTAGACCGGTGTCAGCAGATTTGAAGGAAATTCTTGGGACATTCATAATGTATTTCACTGTCATTTCCCTCACATTTACAATGTATTTCAATGACATTTCCCTCACATTCACTAATTTTGGAACCATTTCATTCATGGGATTCATAAATTATACTGGCGACATATATTGCTCTACGAAATGACCAAGATGTCCTGCATCCAATCAGCATTCCACCTGCGATATACTTGTGTTCAGCTTGCGGTACACTTGAGATACATCTGCGACACATTTAAGATACACTTGCGAGAGTTAGTATCCATTGCGAGACTTGCGTACACTTGCGTGCGACTTGCGCATCACTTGCGATACACCTCCGAGACCAATGCGAGACACACTTGCGAGAATCTGCTCACAAAATGGATGTTTGCGAGCCACCTGCGGTCAACTTGCGAGTAGGCATGAGTAAATAAGAACTAAAACTCTTGTGTAGAAAATTGGACACTGTATTCCAGACTTGTATCGCATAGCAGTGGCCACATTTTAAGTTCTCAAGTGAAGATTACATTTCTTTAGTTTAAATTTACTAAGTACTATGTTGTAGTAGACTATCTATCTGCGTGACAACTGCGATACCTGCGATCCTTTTTGATTATCTGCGAGACACTTGCGGTCACCTGTGAACGGGTGGTCCGCAAGTGACCGCAAGTGGCACGCAGATTTCTATATGCCCATAGAAACAGACCAAGAATCCAAAAAATCAACTCTCCACGACAACCTGAGGCTGCGCTTCGACAAACTCTTCAAAGAAATGAGTAAAAGCCGCCATCCTAGTACAAACGCCAAGGCTCTTCAATTTCGGCAAATCCACGCTCTTCCGCGTACGCAGATAATCGAGCAACATCGTATGCACAGGATGGCCAGTCATCACCAGGTCCTTCAGGCTCTTCAAATGGCGTGGGGAGCACCCATAGGTGATGATGTTCAAAAGCTGCGGGAACCGCCCATCGCATTGGACCATCGCAAGAGAGTGCAAGCCAAGAACCAGTTCCCGAAGCGGTTCAAGTACGAGTAAGCGCGTCGTCGTTCGGCACATGACGCCGTACATGTCTAGTTTAACAAGAGCCCGGTCCTTGGATTGGGCGGCGATAACCGAGTCAACGAGGCCGACTAGAAGCTGGTAAGCGTCCTTGCTCCGATTCGTGTTCCATTCTTCTCCGATACCCCCGTAATGTTTTGGCGTAATCTGCCCATTCGTCTCTGGACACCCGCCGAAATCACGCACAGAGAGATGTTTGACCGCGGGAAGTAAAAGCAGCTTGACGAACCCAAGCAAGACGGTCGGCTTGATGTACCCAAGATCCACACGCTCGAGTTTCGGGAGGGACACTGGCTCCAATTGAATCGCGGATTCCGTTTCGCCCACAGGCTGGTGGTTGTACAAAGCCAGATAAACGAGAGTATCCTTTGAAGCGAGCAATACGGGGTGAAGGGTAGCTGGGGTGACGCCAGGAAGGTACTTGATCGACAAAGTCGTTATCCGATACGTCGCGCCTAGCCAACCGAGAAGGGAATGGTACTTGGGAAGCGGATAACCAGGCTTGAGCGCATGCCACCCAAACATCCTCACATCAGGTCCATAAACCGGATCTTCCACCTCCTCCCTCGGCTCAAGGTCAACATTCAACCGCTCACCACCAACGATATTCCACTCGACCCGCTTCAGAACGGGCATCTTCATCCCCTTCACCACATCCAAAAGCATATCCATATGCCTATTCGACGGAATCGCAACCCGCAACTTCTCACACCCCACACTCCTCGCGCTAAACGCCTGTTCGAACATTGGAGCAACGTCCGACCCAGCATTCCAACAAATATCCACAAACTCCGCACGAAGAAAATGGAACTCGAAGGGCAGGCGAGCCGATCGTTTGAGGAGGGAGTTGACGACCATAACACGATTATGTGGTCCCTTGTCGAAGTGACCAAGAGATGTTTTATGAAACATGCGAGCGTACGTCCAGAGGTGGGGGATATGGATGGCTAGGGCACGCCATGAGCCGCAGACGTGCGTGAGCGCCAGTGCTTGCTTGAGTGTTTCCAAGGAAGGAGGCCCCGCGCAGACGAGGCGGAAGAGGATGTACAATATGTCATTTGGGACGTTGTAGATTGGTGGGTCTTTCAGCGATAGCTTTGAAAACGCTGTAATGAGATCTAAAACGTCGAAATATAATTCGTCAGTGTCGAACATGATGATATCTAAAACCACAAACACAAAAGACAATCAGCAATCGGAATAAAGCAGAGACAACTGGAAAGACGTACCTTGCATAATGGACGTACCGTATTACTTTCAACTTTCACAATCGCAGGGGTTTCTAGTTCTTGAGTGAACAACACGCCCTCCCCCCAGGCAATTTATGGACATGGGGGTGGCTCATGTCAATGCAAGTAAAAATGCCAAGACGACCTCGAAGGTCAAGGCGGTCAATGCGAAAACGACAAATTTAACGCTTCTGGCAACGCAATATGTCCACACCAAAGTCCCGCAGTCTGAATTATGGAATTGCGGGCAAGGCGTGGTGGACGTCGGACAAAGCTTGGTGAGAGGGTTAGAGCGCAACTTGTCACTGCTTGGTCAATGCTTGGTTCGATTTGCATTTCTATTTGTCCTTGATTTGTCATCGCCTTCATTTTCCACCCCCAACCTCAAAACCTCTAGTTGCTAGCTCTCCGTAGAGGGATTATTACTTCGGGCTCTCTATTCAGGATGCGGGTTGAAATCTTCGTCATGCTCGCGATGTGGGGGCGATAAAATTGCCGGCTGGCCGGGAAGAGATCTTCAAAGCAGGAAACTTCAAACAAGAAACAAGAGCCAAGACGGAAATTAAGACGTTCATACTGAGTCATGGGCGCGCTGTGTTGGTGGCAAAAAAAAAGAGACGTCATGCTTGCGGATGATTTACATGCTCGTCTCTTCACAAAAAATCTTGTCGTCATTCATTAATGTGACCAGCTGGCGACGAGCAATCAGAAGCACAATACCCTTCAAGTTATCGCTTATCTGTACGTATCAGTCCTATGTCAGCTTACCGCTCTTATGAACGTCACAAAATATCGCAGATGCTTACAGAATAATGCTGTTCTATGCCTAGAAGCAAATTTCCAACCGACCCTCCCACGCACGCAATATGCATTGCGAATGTCCTCAAACCCCGTCAATATAAAAATATGACGCAACTTGGCGACGCAGAGTCTTCAACATTCAAGGAATGACGACTCTACTTCAAGCAACGAGAGGTGCATTTCCGCAGGTCCTATGAACGCGCGAGAAACATTGTGGCTATCCACTGGCACCAGGCTTTCTTACCATCCCAACCGCTGAGCGCCAAAAGAACAACTCAATTAAATCTTCATCGTGGAGTTCTAGAAATCTGTGCGACAGGAGGATGCGTACGTTTTCCTTCAAAGTAGTAATATGGAATTAACTGCAATGACGTTTAGTTGAAGGCACAACGATCAATATAACTCTTATGGGCGCGCCGCTCGCTATGGGATTTCAACATCTCATCTCTCAATTGTTACGCACCCAGCGTTCTCAGAAAGTTGGCTTAATAATGCACTCTGGCTAGAGTGTATAAAGTGAGACGTGGGACTGCGAATCGTTATCGACCTCAACATGTCTCTCATCACCATATCAGCAATTGTCAAAGCCGACGCCTCCTTTGCTTTTCCTCCCTACGGTTTACCCACCAATAAGAATATATCAGTTCAAAAGACCACCACCACTGGACAGTATCAAGTAAGTAGAGATCATCACAGCCTGAAGTCGCGGTTACGATATCCTTCATAATGTTAGATAACATATGACGGCGTTTTTGCAAGCATGCCAGTGGTTACGGTTACACAAGCTTGGCTGGGAACTCTGGGAAGTTCTGGCGGCTCGGCTTATGATAACGCCGTTGTTAACGAGATCACGAAAGTGCGTAATGATTGATCTGATTGGTATGAAGAATTATCTGAGTTTTTGGACAAGGCGTATACGACTATGAAAGTGGGGGGTGGGGATGGACATGGGCAGTGGCGTAGCTTCACTGTTGTGCTTACTGGATATCAGAACGTGGACAAGAAGGAAGGAGAGGCGGGCACTGGCACGCTTCTCAACTTTTACTTCAATTTTTGATGGAATATTTTGAAAGACGCCTTATGATACATTGAGATCAATTTGTCTGGAATATAATATGCTTGAACGGTGATCTTAAATTCTCTAGTCACTAGCTCTCCGATAGAGTGATGCTTACTTCGGGCACTCGATTCAGGAGGCAGGTGGAAGTCGTCGTGCTCACGAAGTGCGGGCGGTGAACTTTCCAGCTGTCCGGGAAGAGACTTTCAATTTGGACGGCTGCTTGGGAGGTTTTTGAAGCGCCTGTTCGAGGGGAACAGCATCGCGCTAAAGTGACAATTTACAAACCTGATAATAAACATTTTTCAGCCTCTAACATGACGTGCATCTCGCAAGATAACTTACGTTGGACCATTGACCTTGCTTTCCTTCACTTCATGGTGAGACTCGAGGATACCGGCATCTGCGACATCATTCTCTACTCGCTTCCGCAACCTTTTTCTAAGCTAAAAAAAATTGAGTGGAAGAAAATAGCGTAGCGGTTTTCCGACCTTTTGGGTGTTACGCGCTTCTCCAATATCATCCTCTAGGCTCTTGCGCGATCTTTTCGATTTCTTTTCCTGAATTAAAAAAATTAGTAAAGCGAAATAGCATAATGGTTTCCCAACTTTTTGGACATTTCCCGCTTCCCCAACGTCATTATCTCTGTTCTTTCTCTTTAATTTCTTTTTCTAAATTAGAAGGATTTAGTAGGGCAAAGTAGCATAACAGTGTTACGACCTTGTGGTGGCTCCACTCCTAGTTCTGTGCCAGCATTGTTACAAGAACTGCGTTCAGCTTCATTTACCTCCGCACTCTGCCCATCGATTTGTATCTGCGAGTCAGAGCCTTGGGTTGAGTGCTGTTCTCGGCTCCTTTTCCGCCTCTTTTTCTTCGATTTTTGCGGTTTGTGATTCTTTAATCGCATTATCGTCCAGTTGAGCAGGAGCAATTCCCTATGAAAGATGATGATGAGAACACATCTTCAAACGATTGTATGATATTATATAAACCTTTTCCTTCCGCTTCTTTTCTTCTTCCCAATTGATTAGAGACCAAAATAATATACAATATTGTATGTCGTCATTCCTGCAGTTCTCCACCTGTAATAAGTATGCAGGTAAGCAGTCCACAAAGCTGCAGGTACCAGACAACACTTACCCAATCGTGCAGCAAGCCCATGAGCAAAGGAAGGCCACTCAAGTCATCCCCAGGTTTAAGTATCTCGTCTAAGATAAAAAAACGTCTTTTCTCTTCTGAATCATTCTGAACGAACAAGAAAAAACGCCAATCCTCGCCGTTGGTTACACACCCCCGGAGGGCTTTGAAGCTGTAATGATCGTACATCATCGATATTTAGTATTATTGTCACGCGATGGGAACAGAAAACATACCCTACGGAGCGGCGACAGAACGGTGCAAGGGTTGACGCGTACAGATCATCAATACTTATGTTATACAAGTTCCCCTTAGTTGTCTGAAATATCGCGCAAAACTGGTGCTGAGCCATATCATCTTTGTTCGTGCAGATGATTCGAGGCAATACAAACAAATTGTCTAGAGTCGATAAGGTCAGCCTGTCTTTAAGGGTCACTTGTGAATAAAACACACCTCCATCGTATGTGGAGCCTTTGGAAATGACAAAGTCGATGATGGGATCCATGTTGCTGACGTCGGACTCGTCGAAAGGGATAATTTGGACGTTGCCACCAAATTCGCCAACGGTGCTCATGTATTCTGCCAGATACATCAAAATGCTACTTGAAGGCCATCTCTGTCCGGCTTGGCACTGAAAACACGTAAAAATGTCTTACACGGAAAAAGTTTGAAGATCTACATACGTTTCCTGTTACCAAATCCGCCAGACTTTGAGACATCACTGAAGAATTTGCGACTTTTTGACCTTGAAGTACGACTTCATGGCGTTTAGGAGGGAAGAAATTGATTGAGTGTGTGGTGTAGTCCATGGTGAGCTGAACGTCGAGTATCAAGAAACTTTCTTTGATACACTCCTGTCTCAACTTGAAGTTGGGACAGGAGTGGTGACGTAATCGTTTTCGGGTTAGGCCTCTTCTCTCCAAAACCACAACAAATCGTGCGTCCCCCTCATCTCCGCCGTTCCTGACGACTAACACGTACATATACCAGGGAGGAGGCGCACGTTACCCATACCCAAAGGCAGTCTGGTCATACAGATGAATGATTGGTTTGGTGAAGAGCATAATAAACGGCCTCAGCAGCGCGATTACCACCATTTCCTTGAACGGCTTCTTCTCTCTTCTTCTTCTCCAGCTCCTCAATAGTGCGTTACTGGGTCCAGAACTGGGGCTAGGGAAGGCATGACGAGGGTGAATAAGAACGTGGCTCCGACGAAGATAAACAGGACCCAATAAATCCAGCGTCAACTTGCACCTTGACCGATCCAGCAGCCTATGATGGGGTCAACGCAGGGGCCTAGGCTGTGAAAGAGGGGTGGGCTGGGGTGGGTGAGTGGAAAAGAGAGGGAAGGGAACAAGGGACGCACAAGATTGTCCCCGAGAAATTTCCCATTCGATCACCCTGGGATCATTGACCATTATGTAGTTAGTTCAGTCACATGGGTCCAATAACAACGGAACAGCCGGACGTGACAATCAGTCGTAGTGAACGGGTCAGCCGGGGCGGCCGGTTTGATTGCCATTGTTCCATTGGCAACGAAGCGGCCGGTTTCTGACCCTGGCAGGGTTTACGCTCCCGCGGCGGAACCACTTTTTCAACCGACGGGCTCTGACCACGTCCCGACGGGCTCTCAGCCCATCCTGATGGAACTACAAAAAAATTTAACTGGGGCCTCTCTCCCCTTACTTACATCCATCTAGATCTGTAGCATAATGTATCTTAATCTTTATCTCATCCAACTCCTGCAAGATAGTCTCCATATCAACCAAAAACTGAATTTTGTCCCAACAGGGAAACACTCACCTTGTAGTTAAGAAATGAAAGCTTTTCATTTAGCTACTCACACCTTGTCTACTCATTTGTGGCTCCATTGGGGTGTCAAACTGGAATTGATGGTTCTGTTGGGGATGTCTCTGTCAGGGTGTTTGACATTGAGATTGAAGGTGCCGCAGGGGATGTCTCCGTTGGGGTGTTTGTCATTAAAATTGAAAGCACCACAGTAAATTGAAGGTGCCGCGGGGGATGTATGACCTCCACAATATGGTCATCTGTGGCATGATCTTGAATACGTCAAGTTAGCAGAGCACTTTATTGACTGTGGCAGAGCATTTGATTGACACTGACAGGGAATTGAGAATTCAAAATGTTGACTCCTGCGGGGCATTTGATTGACTCCGACGGGGCATTCAAAATTCAATGTCAGCTCTGGCGAAGCATTTATTCAAGATAGAGGAGTCAATCCACTACAGCATTTTTAAGCTGGTGCCCAGATCATCCATCCATGTGAACTGAAACATGCAATGGCTTGGAATATGTGATTTGCAGAAACAAGAAATATATTGTCAAGAAATCAACGCACAATAGCGATGAAAGGTCCTGCTAGTAGCCATGACAAATCCTCATAATACAAAAGAAAGATCCACTGAATTGGAGGTCAGATAGTTGAGGTGTGCACCATTTAGTTTTTAGAAGTAGAACAACTCTGGCAGCCCGCCTTACCAGGTATGGGCCAGCGGCAACCTAATATGGAAGGAGCGCATTATTCACACACACCATCTGAAACTACGCACTGCGCCGCGCTCATTGGCGATGCAACGCACCAACAAAACAAAGACATTGGGGGGATCCCAGAAAGGAATAGAATCATTTGGAATAGTTTTCTCAGTGATTGAAGAAGTTTTTGTGAACAGACCTCGGAAAGAGCTATTTGGTGCATGAATCTTTATATAAACCAGTTGCACAACATGCCATTTTGCATACATCAAGTTATATTTTTTTTTCTTCCCTCACAACTGCTTCCCCCACCTATCTGAATTGATTCTAAAGTATGTAGGCTATATTTGGGGAAAGTATGGGAGCATTTCAACAAGATTTAGATAGTGAAAGGAAATAAGAAAGAATGTGGTTTCATGTTTAGAGTCATATTTTCACCCTTTCAAGCTCCAGCTCCCCCAAACCATCAGAAAACTGCTTTGGAGCAGGGGATATATATTCTGCCATATGTTAACTATGTATAAGAAAGGCTCAGATGTTGAGATTTGGTAGCAAAGTATACAGAAAAGTCAACAATATCATGTTGTGAGATATTTCATGCATTCAACCTCATTTCTCCACCATGCGCCAAAATTCTTTTCCAAAGTAAACTTGAACCTATTTTACAACAGCTGTAGTATGCTGGAAAGATGTATTGAGAAGCTATAACAGTACAGCTCATTTTTTTCCCCCACAACTCCGGCGGGGCATTTCATTGACTCCGTCGGGGCATGTAAAATTAAATATGTTGACTCCTGCAAAGCATTCAATACACTCCGATGGGGAATATAAAATTTGAATTGGGTGGGAGACAGTTGATTGACTTTCATGGGGTATTTAATTCACTCCATTGAGGCATTTAAAATTAAATATGTTAACTTCTGCAGGGCAGTTTATTCACTCCGACGGAGCATTTTATTGACCCCGTCGGCGAATTTAAAATCAAATATTTTGACCCCGCGGCGATTTAATTCACCCCGACGGAGCATTTTATTTACGCCGTCGGGGCTTTTAAAATTAAATATGTTAACTCCCGCAGGGCAGTTTATTCACTCCGACGGGGCATTTTATTGACCCCGTCGGCGAATTTAAAATCAAATATGTTGACCCTGCGGCCATTTAATTCACTCCGACAGGGCATTTTATTCATGCTGTCAGGGCATATAAAATTAAATATGTTCTCTCACAGGGCACTCTGACAGGGCATTTTATTCACTCTGTCATGAAGTTTAGAGTCAAATATGTTGACCCCCGCGGCGCATGTAGTTTACTCTGACAGGGCATTTTATTTACTCTGACAGGGTATTTTAAATCAAATATGTTGACTCCCATGGGGCATTGGGTTCACTCCTCCAGGGCATTTGAAATTGAGTATGTCAACTCTGGCAATGCATTTACAATTAAACATAATAACCCCTCAAGTCAATCAAATTCTTCATGGAGTCAAAATAGTCAAATTTAAATGCCCATGGTGGTTGACATACTCAGCTGTAAATTCTCTGCCAGAGTGAATCAAATGCCCCATGGGAGTTGAAATAACCACCCCATTGGAGTCAATCAAATGCTTAACCAGAGTTGACATATTCAATTTCAATAGATGTCATTGATTAATATTATGGACACAGGTAATTTACCATTGGAGCAGGTTGGGGTATATACAGCATGCTTTGCTGACCAGCAGCTGTGTGGTAGAGCAAGTAGCTTAGGGTGGAGGTTTACAATTAGCTACTACTGATAGAAGCAAACAGTACAACATCAAAGCAGGTAACAGTATTACAGTTGTTCTAGTAAAGATTGGGGAACTATGGTGTGATGCTGACGGGACACCCAGAAGGCTGCCGTAGGTAGCTGCCGTGGCAAGAGACGCCGTGCCCGCAAGCCATTTGTATGCATCCGGCTGGTCCGTTGGTAAAGGGATGTTTTGGAAAGTCCGGCCGGGACCGGCTGGCCCGTTCATTACGAGTCATTGTCATGTCCGGCTACTACGTTTGGTACGTGACACAGTGACTGATATATGTGCATTATGAACATCCTCTCGGGTGTGAATACATTAATGGCGTCTTTCATCAATAGTGGCAGTTTGTTTGAGGCAGTAGTCATTGAATGAGGGTCTTGGCTGGAAGGCCAAGGGCGGTTTTCGTTCAGAAAAACTGTTATTTGACCTACATGGAGCAAGGCTGGCATGGCTTTCCGAGAACGTAGTATTGATTGAGAATTGAATCGCATCGGTATGAGAAAAAAATTCTCAACCTCCAGTGACATTCAAGTTTGAGCAAGGGGTACCGACCGGGAAATTCTGAAACACCATCCTGGGGGGGAGGGGGGTCTGGCAGGGCCCTTAAACGGGTAACTTTATCTCAAATAAATACCTAATATAATACATTTTTTGACTTGTATCTGCCAACTTAACCATCGTTTTCTGCCCCCAACCAGTGATCCAGCACAATCTGTGATGGGTTGCATCATTGTTGACCAATTCTTACATTGGCTCTCGACTCAGATATCAACAATGGTGTCACTGTGTCACTCTGGGTCACATCATCTTATTGCATTTTTTCTTGATTTTTTCACCCAGCAGTGAGCACATTTGCATCTGTAAACATGCGACTTTCTTTGGCAGCAAAAGAACTTAGAAGGAGAGTGCTAATTTGATCTATCTTGACAAATATTTGAAGCCATGGTGTTTTTGCAATATAATGTCCACAGCACCCTTTCCTCCTCTCTGGCACTGATTTTCTCTATCAGCATCATCTTACATGTCGTGGGCTTCCAGAATGACCTTCAGTGAATTGGTTTTGCCAAGGGGGGTCCAGGATTTTTTTTAAATATATAGGGTTGAATTTTTTTCTAAGGCCTCGACGGCTGAGACTAACTAACTAAGGGTGGGAATATATTTCCAAATATGGAAAATGACATCATAATGACTAGACTCAGTGAGAACGTCAAATGTCTCACCTTCATTTGTTTCCCCTTCCCTTCTCCCCACTGTACTTGCACGAGTCGCACATCCACCCTGGAATTCTGCGCTCAATACCCGCACATACAAGATGATACTTTATAAACTGTAAGTTCTCTGCTGGTAGATGTATTCTGAATTACTCACCCAATTTGTTTCACACCCTTTCTGTTTGCACCAGATCGATTTGTCTTCGTCGTCCATCTCATCAGCTGTCACCGGGCCACCGCATACACATTCGCCGATAAACTTTCGCTTGGGGACATTTCTGAGCCGTCCCTGCGAGCTGGTCTCCTTCGGCGCAGTGTCAACCTCGACGGACATGGGAGATAAAACGGTTTGAGTAGTGGTCGACGTATCATGGGTTTCATGCCTGGTTTCGGTCTCTGTTGTGACACTGACAGTTCTTCCATAGATTGAATCAACACCAGTTTGTGTCTCGATGGCAGCGTCGACTGTGGTTCCATCTTGCCTGGTTGCCAAACCCCCAGTACTGACCATTAGACTACTCACCAGTTCAGTGTCTGGTAGTGTCTGTGTGTTAGGCGCTATGCAGAGGTTGCTGTGAGTGATTCTAAACATTGATATCATATAGCAACTCACGATCTGGCTCGAAAACTTCTTCACCATTGGTCATCACATTCCCTTCCCCCTCAACGTCACCTTTGCCACCATCAACGTGATCAGCAGCTCCCTCATCATCACTACTCTCGTCGTCATCATTGTCCATGTCCCCTGGGTCACTCTCGTCATCGCTGGAACATGGAACACTTTGGGAGGTCAATTGTTGCCTGGCCCCTACCACTGCCGGTCCAGCGTCTTCATCAATTGACTGTGATTCTGCGAAAGAGTCCTCGTTATCAAGACTACTGTATTAGCATACAATATCAATAAAAGGTTTTGAAAAATGAATAACCACTTACCGAAATACTAAACGAGAACTGTGCGTCTCGGAGATTATCAATGAGTCACTAGCCGCCTTTTGAGACTTGCAGGAACACTTTTCTTTGTGGCGGTCATTCCAGCTAGCCTTAAGCTGAACCTTCTCGGCTTCTGATATCTTCCAAAGGTGCTCATACGGGATGAGATTGACGACTTCATGGTGACGAGACTTCATGTGTTGCTCCAGGTTCAGCTGCCAAAGTACAGGGGTAGTGTATGTTCTCGGGCATATAGGACATCGAATAGGGACATTAGAGCATGGGGCTGTTTGTGTTGATTCCTCAGCGACGGAGTAAGAAAAGCCCAACATATTGGCACAAGAAGACTTCTTCATATTGATCTGATCAGTCGATTTCGAGCCTTTTCCTTTCTACAGATAGAATACACATGCTGGTGCAGGGCATAAGCAGAGGCCACACAGCTCATCACTCTGCTTCAGATGGGAATCAAATAGCATGTGAGCGGCATTGTGTTTGAGGACACGATGAGCTGGGGTCTTATCCTTGAAGAAAACTGCTGGCGTGCATACGCTGCATTGATTTTTCTTGGTAAAATGCCTCTCGGCATCTTCGTTCTCACATAGGAAGCACGCTTGTCCTGAAAGTAGCAATGTTTAAGCCTCGCGGAAATATAGATTAACTCAAACAAGATACCTGTTTGTTCTCGATATGGGAAATCTGCTGATTTCTTGATGGTAGGAACCAAGACCGAAGACTCGGATGACATGCAGGCAACCCGTTCAAGCAGAGATGCACCAGCAGACAGTAACACGTCACTTTCGAGAAGATAATAGGGCTGATGGGGAATGTGTGTTGAAACACCAGGGTCGATCGGCTGAATTAGATGGCCAGAGACTTTGAACAAGACTCCTCGTCGCATTGATCCTCGCCAATCATGCTTGGACTCGGGGTCGTCTTTGGAGGTAGGGGAATCAGGAAAACCATCTGATAGGAAATGGTAATGGAGTCCTGCCTGAGAGAATTGAGGCTGATCTCATCCACACTCGAGCCATTGACAACAATGTCATTGACTTCACCAACACATACGAAGATACTGTCCTCGCATTTGAGGATTGATGCAACCGGCATGTCCATTCCCAGATGGTTGCGGCTTGACAGTGGGTCAGTAGTTAAGATTGTGGTTGTATCTAAGTTGTTGGAGTAGTGCTGACCATTAGCAACACGCTTTAGTCGATCGGTGGATCCAACCTTCTTCAGCATTTCAAATGCTCGACTAAGGTACTTGGCTTTGGAGACTTGAACACCATCCATCTCAAAAAAGGGCTTGTGTTTTTCGACCTCAATAGGCTCTTCTTCAGCAATGGCATCTTCGAGTTCATGTCCAAGGGAGGGCGCTGTCGAATCTGCAATACTGGTAGGTGTATCATCATATGTGTCGTCAATATCGTCGTCTGCATGTGCCGCCTTTACGAGATCCTTTCCCAGAGGCGAGAAAATGTCTCTGCCAGGTTGAATTTGGATAGACTCGAGGATAGGTGCAATGACTGGGTAGTCCTTCTTGGCTTCCTCTCGTCCTAGCCTCCAGCATGTCTGAAAAACAATGTTGGCAACAAAAACATCACCCAACCATGTCGATGGTCTGATATGGTCAACTCCTTTGTGCATGACAGATCCCTCTTGAGAAACAACGGGCAGTTTAAGACGGCGAGGAGCACGATCCCAGTGGGGATACTTTGCGAGAATAGTTGATACTTCTGTTGTCCCTGTCAAATGTTGGCCCAATTGAAGAATATCGAGATTTGCATCGTTTCCGACCATGGTGCGTAAGATCCCAAACAGCGTCTCAAGCCGATCAGTTCCCAATAAGATAAGATAGAATTTTCCTGTCGGACTGTCGACCTTGGCCTTCGCGACGCAGAAATACACATTCTTGATCATAATCATAATGTCGACGTAAAGCTGGGTGAGCATGAGCTTCGTTCCGGCCTTGTCATTGCTCCAGAGAGCCATCAGGATGTGTGCTGCCACACTGAGGTGGGTGAGTTGCCTAGTCAATGTCAGGTCAATGCAGATGTATGGCATAACCAGGCATTGGAAAAGACTTCCCAAAATTCGCATTGAGGCTCTGTTTGATTGAAAGCCAACAAAACTTCCAGAAGGCACTTTGGAAAGTGACCAAATTTCGTGAAGTAGATCATACGCAAGTTTGACATCTTGCCTGTCTTCCAGATTTAATAGATAGGCAGTGCGCTGCATGGTGACTCCTTGAGCATGCATGTGTGCTCGAAAAACTGGTGGCTTGAGATGATGGCCAAGCGACCATAAGCCAGCGTCACGAAGGACGAGGTTCCGAATGTGTTTGAAAATGTGTTTATAATCTTTGTTGGCAGTTACATCGTCGTCGCCCACTTCAAGATTCATCAAGGGCAAGCATGTGAGTTGGTCGTAGATCGGAGAATCCGGGCTGAGCTTTTTCTTGAAAGTAAATTGGACTAAGGCAAGTCCGCGTCTTGATTCTCCGTCAGATGCGATGCTAACAGTGCATACGCGAGTTTTCCGACTGGCATCAAAAGCAGTTTTTATTAGTTGAACATGTTCCAGGCCTGACTCCTGCTTGCAATCACCAGAAACCAGGATTCCTCGAGCACCATACAGGCGAGTGTCAGAGCTGAGAACACTGATTGCGCCGACAGTCACCTAGAAAGGTGTGAGAAAGGGCAAATGACAACAGTGGTAACCAGTAACTGATCAACATACATCAACAGCAAGATGAATGTCTCCCTTCTTCACACTTTCAAGTAACAGTTGGACCTCCTGCTCAGAGGCATACTCTAGGCTTGTATTCTTGGCGTGTTCATGGCAAATTCCCACTATCTTGTTCGACTTCTCATCGTACTGCGGTCGCTCTTCAACCTTCAGCTCATCAAGCATGAGCACTTGATGAACGATATCTTCGGCAGCCTCCAGCACAGAGAAAATTGGCGTGAACATATTCTTGACGTTTTCCTTGACCTCCTGAGCTGTTGGAAAGGAGGGAGAAATGACGAGCAGAGGAAGAACTTTCTGCTGATGAAGACTGCTTTTGGATGGGAGGTTGAGTGCACTGTGACCAATTCCAGCAAGCCGAGCGCCCCCTAGTCGCCACAGGAGCAGCCCTCGTAAGTAATCTTCTTCAGTATAATTGCGCGGACGGTAAAGTTTCTGAGCTGCGCGCTCATACAGATTCAGCAGGCCATGCATTCCACCTTTGCGTGCAAGGTTCACTCGAACAAGACAGTCGACCCACTCCACCTTTCTGCTACCCACTGCCATTACCCACTGCTTCAGTTCGTCTATCGCCACTGCCCTCCCTGCCAATTTCTCAGCATCATTCAATCTGCAAAGTTTCAAGGTCTTGATTTCCTCTGCCTTTCTCCGCACGATGCTGACCAGACCACCAACACTATGGTATACCAGGTGTGCATTTTCATGAACGCCTTTGTTCATTCGGTCGAGAATTCCCTGCAGGCGAGAATCGCTTGACAGCAGATAACACCCATTGCACTGCTTTTGGTGGGTCAACAGATTTTTGCAGCTTCTTGCGTGCAGTGTTAACTGTCCTCTCTGTACCGAATAGTCCCAAGGATCCCCAAGTTCATCATGGAGACCAAATGGGTACGCCGAATGAGTGGACTTTCCCTCAGGGATTTCAACATGCACCCCGGGACATGGGTATTTGCCTAGTGGTGGTCCTTTGCGATAGACTTCTTGATTTCTGGGACCATCCATGGCCATCGGCAACACGTTAGGCAAGGCATCAACATCTAGAGCATCCATTTCATCTGGTAGTGTGTCGACATTGATTGGTGATGTACACCAACTGACAGGTTTTACTCCCGATGTAGGTTCATCCAGAATGACACACATATTGGATTTCATGGTTGGTGGGATGGGAGACTGCGGAGATCTTCAACAAGGTTAGTAGAGTTCAAAGGTATCGGACGACAAGAACTCACACATCGTCAATTGCCTGCAACAGCCTCCCCACTTTCCCTTCAAAAAGAGCTCCTGGAATATTGTGCGCGGAGGCTAGATATTCAAATAATCCGTAAATCACATCCAATCCTTTTGCCCCCCATTTGACTAACATCATCATTTCTACTTGTGATTTCTGAAGCTCTGTGTCTAGAGGTCGATTCCACACCTCCCAAGCATCCTCGCCCTCAGGAACTGACCCCTCGAAGCTTCCAGAGAACCGTGCAAGAGGACACTCATCACCAGCAAGCTCGATTGTGTCTGGGAGTCTGTCAATGCGTGCGCGCAACTCTGTCAACAACGTGGCGGCTCTTGGACATGAAATTTGACATGATGGGGTCTGGGAGGGGGTGGGCAATATTGGCATGGGTGCTTGTCCCACCTGCGAGCCCGAGGCTGGGAGTATAGTTGCTGGCCTTGAGGTCTGAGGCTTGACGAGTAGTTTCGCAGCAGAGGCAGATGGCCCAGGGACTGCAGTTCCTCGGGGCATAAAAAACTGGCATGCTTTGGCCTGGGTTTTCGCAAGAGCCTCTTTTGCCACCTTCTTTTCCTTATTCACCTTGCATGCTTTACTGGGTTTGTGTCTTTTGAAGTAGTTTGCGAGTCCTACTGAACCCAATTGAACGACTGTCTCGCAATGAAGACATATCACTGTTCCATCTTGTCCGATGTCGGCTTCAGTCTAGGTAATGTTTTATCAGTTGTGGCGCGCAACCTTATATCTCTATATAACGTACTGGTTCTTTGATCTCTGGAGGCTTCTCCATTGAAAAGCTTGATGTTTTGGACTGTCTCAGGCTGTTTCCAGGCTGTTCGGACCGAAAAAATTTAGGACGTCATTTTTTTTTTTAACGGCCTGTCAGCCGGACTAACTAACCATCGCTATATGGCATTTTCAAATCCCGGACCTCCCTTGGGTTTTGCAGTGAGGCAGTTAAAATGATCACGTGGTTTCCTTATTTGGAAGGTGCTAGGGGGAGGGGGGAACCTGAGAGGCCTTAAACATGTAACATATGATTGTGTCATGTACTTTTACTTTCAGTACTATGTTTGTTCAGGTGTTTGAAACCCATCAGGAGTTTGAAACTGCACATTATCTTGCCTTCCGCTTACCTTAGGATCTTGTAAATTTCAGGGAAGATGTATTTATGCATGAGATTTACTATTCCAAATTTTCAGAGGGAGATTCGAAGATTTGTGCTCTGGAGGCATGACTTTGTGCTTTTCATTACACCAACCAAACAAAAGTATTGGAATGTTTTCTCAGATCCCTTTGGATTGGCTAGACTGTTTATTCTGAAACTTTCCAAGTACATTTAAATTGTATTTGAAAGTCTACCTACAAATTTCTAGAGGGGGAGATGAAGCATTCTCGGGAGGAAGGGCAAAATACCAAATTTTTCTTGCAAAACAGCTCGAAAAACATGACATTTGCGTGACATTTGCACATCATCCATCAGCCAAATTCATTGTTACCTAGTGTGACACGAGTTTCAATCTCCTGATATATCTGAACCCTGAGCACCGGAACGCCTCCGACAGCGAACACAACACATTTATACCAAAAAAAAGTAGATATTCATATAGAAGAGAAAAAAGATTATTGGCTTGTTAAAAATTTAAAGAATCCAATGAAGTGGTGAGGCAGAAATCGCGCAGCGGTGAAAAAGTTTCAAACACCTGAACAAACATAGTACCCCTTGAGTTTGAGTGACATAGATTGGTAGTGAGTTGCGCGTGCGTTGATCAGAAGCTGTTGACAAGCAACGACACACAGGCAAACGGTCCGATCGGGATGCGACAACCCTACCAAATGCCACTCGTCATTGATTGATATCCCAAATTCTCCCTCGACAGATCTATACTTAGCTTCCCCTTGCACAACTCTCGGATGGAGGCTTTTCAATTCTGTCTTTTTTTTTCTTTCTGTATCCGCAGCAGTGGGAATCGATGACACAGAAGCGCCGTTCTTATTAAACGCATCACCACGCTGCAGTGGTGTGTCGCTATTTTTAATGGAACTGTGGCGTGTGTGAAGAAGATATTGACGTTGCGGCGAGGTATGGCTGTCCAGGCGTTCTGCTCATCTCTCATCACGCTGATCTACAACAATGTCCCGCCCAAGTAGACGACGCGAGCGACTGCACCAACCACAACCGCGATCACAGCAACATTACACCGATCCATACAGAGATCCTCATAGCAATTATAGCTCGGAGGGCTCAACATCATCTCATCAGATTATCTATGGAAGACCACCACCTCGGTCGCGTTCGAGGAGTAACAGCGGACCGCCGCCAACCAGGAGAACGTCGTTGATCCAAGGGAGACCAGCTACCACGAGAGCTGTTGCAACAGGCGCGGTTGGTTCTGCTTATGGGCCTTACTCGGTTCGTTTTGTGCAATGTGTTCATGAGTTGAACGAAACTTGATCCAATTTTTGAAGTACAATCCTAACGAAGGCAGAAACTTCATCTATCGCCCAGATTCAAGGCAGGGCACCTCCCGACAGCGGAGAAGGTCGGAAGACACTCACGCTAGCCATTCCGCCCCGATTACTATGGCCCCCGTGCAGCAGCCCATTCCGGTCGTCCCAACCACGACGACGGTTGCTCATCCTGCATGGGACAGCGATCAAGACCTAGAAGACGAGTTTCATAGATCAGAGCCATTTCCGGACGAAGGCTTTGACGTACTCTCATGTAGAGGCTGGATAAACAGCGTATCGATTCTTTTATTGATTACAGGGCTAATGACGCTTTTCGTTGGGTACCCTATACTGGACCATTTCCAGCACCTTCCGCCACCGATCCATGGCTACAACATTGGGGGCATCAATGGGACTGGTCAGATCCCTGTTCTTCCCGGCCTACCGAGGATGATAGATGCCGATACGCCCTCCTCGGCTTTGACGCGTACAGGATGGGACGGGAAAAAGTATGATCTTGTCTTCAGTGACGAGTTCAATGTGGATGGCCGAACGTTTTACCCTGGGGAGGACCCGTATTGGGAAGCTGTTGATCTCTATTATTGGTGCGTCCACCGATGCGACACAATTTTTGGCCATGCTTAGTTATAAATTCAATAGGCCCACAAATGACGTGGAGTGGTATGATCCCAGTGTAAATCTCATCTGTTACTTTGCGACTTCAAAATTCGCTCACTTGCACGAAACAGGCCATCACAACAAAGGGCGGAAAATTGGTGATTACGATGAAGGAAGTACAAAATCATAACCTGAACTTCATGAGCGGTAAGTGGGGTATTTACCTGATTTTATCGTCGACTGATGCAAATATTCTACAGGGATGCTAACATCGTGGAACAAGCTGTGTTTTACTACCGGCTACATAGAAGTTTCATTAAGTTTGCCTGGTAGTGTAACGGCTCCAGGTTTCTGGCCAGGTGCGTATTCTTGAATCCTGACTCACAAGCCGATTAACAAGATCTCGTAACATTAGCCGCTTGGACGATGGGGAACTTGGTTTGAACTTCATTCTACAATTATTCAATACCTCGCTCATCAATACAACAGGGCAGAGCAGCCTACGGCGCAACCACGGAGGGAACTTGGCCATATACGTACGATTCATGCGATTCCGGTACGTTCATCGGCCAAACTGGGAAAAACGGACAGCCCGCATCCTCTGCAACCGGCGGCGCAACCGGCGGACCAATAAGCGGCCTCCCAGGACAAAGATTATCTGCGTGCTCTTGTCCTGGGTCCGATCACCCAGGACCAAAGTACGACGTTGGCAGAGGGGTCCCAGAAGTCGATATCATTGAAGCCAGAATCGACACGAGCCGCGTCGTAGGCCAGGCGTCTCAGACTTTCCAGGTGGCCCCTTATAACTATCAACTCCAGTTTGTCGACACCTCGCCGGCGACGACCATATATAATCAAAGTATGACGCAGGTCAATAGTTTTAAAGGGAACTCACTTCAGCAATCGGTTTCTGCCCTGGCAGATATTGGATCGCAGTTCTATGGGGGCCAGGCTTATGCGCCGTACGGATATGAACTTTGGTCTGATCCAAACAATCGACAAGACGGGTATATAACTTGGTTCAGTAATGGTAAACCGACGTGGACTGTCACTTCTGCTTCCGTGGGGCCAGATCCGGTTTCCCAGGTTGGCCAAAGACTTATTTCGGAGGAACCCATGGTCAGTAAGCTCAAAATTCAATCATTTGACTCCTCATATAACTCTGACGACGTCGCATTGAAGTATGTCGTCCTGAATTTTGGTATGTCGCCAGATTTCCAACCCCAGGATTACAAGCACCTCGTATTTCCGAGTCAAATGTTTGTGGACTATGTCCGCATTTACCAACGCGAGGGAGTCAACAATGGAATGACTTGTGACCCTCCCAATCGCCCTACAGCGAACTACATCAATCAGTATGTGAACAGATTTTTTCGCAGTTCGCTTTTGAATCTGAAATTTTGTTTCAAAGACATTCCGTGCCATACAATAATCCGAACCTTACGACATGGGCGTCTGCGAATTTCTCATTTCCTCGAAACTCGCTTTACGATGGATGCTGATATGTAACCCAAGTCATGACGATCATGAGACAATTATGAAAATAGACGATCTTTGCCGTGTATCCAAACAGGCATAATATATGTAGCACTAACCAGGAGTAGCATTTTCGCACTTGTCAGGCAATAAGACGAACATTTTACAGTGCATATATGAATTGTTCCGCAAATACGCGGACTTTCTCCAATTTTTGTCGAGTGTTCCACTCACAAGTTGGAAACGTTCATCGCCCAAACCACGGAAGGTGAGTAGTGTTTCAGAGTAGTGTATCAAGTGAAAAGTTCGCAGTCAATAGTTGGTCAATAGTTGGTAACATCGATCGTTGTAGTACGAAAATGCTCATAATGACTTGTTTGACTTGTAACAGATTGCACTTGTATTTCATTTATTACATGGTTTGGTGTTGCAAATCGAACGAAAGGAGGGGATATCATGAAATCGAGGGGAATCTCGGGGGAAGATCGAGGATATCATGTGGTGAACCGTGATGGGTGGTGGTACAAAAATTATATAAAACAGGAGTAGGGGGCATCAAAACGGCGGTCGTAGCAATATCATCAAAATGCATTTAGTCCGGTAGAAGATGGGGTATCAAAGACTAGTCCAGGGTTTAGCTGACGCTTCTATGGGTACGCCTGTGCAATTGAGGCAGGCCAACGCAAGAGATGGTGGTGCTTCTGGGTTCCACGTTCGCCTGCAAGCTTGTTGATGGCGTTGAGAAGGTCTGCACGCCGTAAGGGTTCTAAAGTAAGCGAGGTCAACCAAGAGAATCAAATCAGAAAGAGAGTCACTTACTGGTGATATGGTCGTCCTGCAGTGCGTGACGTGTCAGCTCCGAGAAGGGTCAGAAGCGAAAGCATGCTTACCATCCCCGCTTGCAAACATCTTTCTCGATCACCGATCACTACAAAGGTTGTTGATGAAGAACTGCAAAGAATATGAAGGCGAGGGACTTACTGGCATGAGCCGTGAGGGCGATAATAGGCGTCGGTGCGAGGCCCTTGTGCATCTCATATGATCGTATCAGCTCCGTAGCCTCCATTCCGCCCATGAACGGCATAGACACATCCATCTAACAAGCCGCATGAGCGCTCCTCCGATATCAAAAAAACGAGATGCGTACCAGGATGATGTCGAACGGCTTGGCCTGGGCTACCCTCCCCTTGAAAGCATCAACCGCCAAACTGCCGTTTTCGGCAATCTCAACGGTATGGCCATACTTCTCAAGTATCTTGACGGCCAGCTTCTGATTGACCAAGTTGTCTTCAGCGAGCAGGATATCAAACGTGACGTCGTTGGGCGCCGAGACTGGGCTGACGGTGTTGGACTCCAGGGCGGATATGAGGGCAGAGCACAGATCCTGCGCGGTTACTGGAGTAGTGACTTGCGCGGTAATACTGTTGTCCAAGCACCATTTCACTGGAAAACATTTTGTATTTAAGCTATCGCCGCACAAAAGCTATGCTGCTTACGGTTGAGCCGGGGCATTGAGGGCGCTAAAAGAACAACTGGGATGTATCGCAGGTGTTCGTACTCGCGAATACATTCCGTCTATGATCCGGTTGGTCAGTTCAACCCTCCATGTTCAACGGAGCTACGACTTACAACAGCCAGAGAATCCACGACAATGGTATCAATATGAGGGCACCTGTCCTTATCTGCAACCTCCTTGACTTCGTGGACGACATGAGGCTTCAGGGCGAGCTCCTTGATGCGATCAACTACCCCAGTGGTGTCGTGAAGAGTGTCTGCAAACAGTATCGTCCTCTTCGCAAATGCCGCCATCTTGGAAAGGGTCACATCCATCGTAGAGTAACTGATTTGCGAGGTAATCGTGAAGAAGAACCTGCTTCCTTTCGAAACCTCACTCTCCACCCACATGTTACCCTGCATGAGGGAGACGAGACGTTTGGATATCGACAGCCCCAAACCAGTGCCACCATATTCCTACAAACGATGGTGGTCAGCTCCATACTCATCGTATAAGACAGCGGAAACGCACTCGGGTAGTGGACCCATCTGCCTGACAGAACGTATCGAAGATCAGGTTGAGCTTGTCTTTCGCGATACCGATGCCAGTATCAGTAACGCAGAACTCTAGAGTCACATTCTGTTCATCCAGTCCCAGAAGGCGACAGCTGAGAGCGACATGACCCTTGCGAGTAGCCTTGGATGGCGTGAACTTGATCGCGTTGCCGACCAAGTTGGTGATGACTTGTCGTAAGCGGAGGGAGTCGCCAATAAGCTGATCAGGGATATCCGGCTCCACATCGTAGGTGAGGTCAAGGTTGTTCTGCGATGCCCGCACCACCAAAGTCTTGAGGATACCGAAGACAGTTTGGCGTAAGGAGTAGGAAACGGCTTCCATTGTCATACGACCTGCTTCAACTAGAGGTGGCAAATTGTCAAAAAGGGTGATCAACGGTAGCTGAAGGAGCAACTTACTCTTCGAGATATCCAAGATGTCGTCGATGATCAACAGCAGAGATCTTGCCAAGCTGTGTACGAGGAGTAAACTCTCCCGCTGTGATCGATTCAAATCACTGTCCAGCGTAAGCTCCGTCATCCCAATGATACCATTCATCGGCGTTCTACACGCATCCGTCAGCTTGCAGCTCAACCAGCAACAAGAAGACCCACCTGATCTCATGTGACATGTTAGCCAAGAACTCGCTCTTACTCCTATTGGCCAGCTCAGCAGCCTCCCTAGCAGCCGTGTTCTTCTGAATGCTGTCACGCAAGTTGAAGACCATCTGGTTGATCTGGGTCTTCAACGAGTCCATCTCCCCACTTGCCTCGACGGTGATGAATCGGGTAAAGTCCCCGTCCATAGCAGCAGCCGAGATCTGCGCAAAGCCTCGTACTTGAGTCGTCAAGTTTCCAGCCATAGTGTTCACGGACAACCTGAGGGTAAGGGAATGAAGATATCAGAGAGGGGTGGAGAGCAAAGAGGAAGGAAACGCACGTAATCTCTTGCCAGATACCTTGGACGTTGCCAACCTCAGCTTGTACGCCCAGTTTGCCTTCTGTACCGACTTCACGAGCGACCTTTTTGACCTCGGCCGCAAAGATGGCCAATTGGTCAATCATGCTGTTTATGGTGTTGACCAGGTTCAACATCTCTCCGGAGACGGACACTCCTGTGATCTTCTGTGTCAAGTCCCCTTTAGCCACGGCCGTCTGCGATCAGGATGATGAGCATGACATCAGCTGAGTAGGATAGCACACACCGTAGCCACAGCGATCGTCCGCACTTGCAGCGTCAACTGAAGGAAAGGAATGTTCAGCAACAATCCAACAACATAAAACCGACACCCACATTATTAGCCATAACATTCACATTATCCGTCAAATCCTTCCACGTCCCGCCAACATTCGTCACCCTCGCCTGACCACCCAGCCGTCCCTCTGTACCCACTTCCCTCGCGACCCTCGTGACCTCATCCGCGAACAGACTCAAACTCTCCGTCATACCGTTAACGGTCTCCTTCAAATCCAAGATCTCACCACGCACGTCCACCTCAATCTTCTTCGTCAAATCTCCGCCAGCCACAGCTTTCGTCACCTCGGCTATCGAGCGCACTTGGTTCGTGAGATTCATAGCCATCAGGTTGACATTATCCGTCAGTACCTAATGATGGAGAACAATCAACTCGGGCAGCCATCTCAATCCTACTCAAAGACTTACCCTCCACATACCCTGAACGTCAGGAACGAACGCCTGTCCACCTAAAATGCCCTCCGTGCCGACATCCAGACTCACTCGTGTAACCTCGTTGGCCAGGGTGCTAAGTTGGGCCACCATGGAGTTGACGGTCATCTTCAAGTCCAACATCTCGCCTTGCACGTCTACGTTCACTAGCTTGCGCAGATCACCTAAGGCGACGGCTTTCGTCACCTCTGAGATGGATCGAACTTGATCTGTTAGATTGGACGCCATTTTCTGCAAAAGAGGTGTTAGACACGGTCAAGAGGAAAGCTGAGGAAAAGAAATTACATTGACATTTCTCGTCAAATCGGCCCACGTCCCTTGGACACCTTCAACCTTGGCTTGACCACCCAAAATGCCTTGAGTTCCGACTTCCAGCGCCACTCGGGTTACTTCTGACGCGAATGCTGATAACTGGTCTACCATAGAGTTGACGGTGCCTAGGGAGAGATGGCTTCAGTCTCAATGTTCGGACAAGTGAGGAAACGCCCACCTTTCAAAGTCGACATTTCACCCTCGACCGAAATCTCTATCTTCTGAGTTAGATCACCACGAGCCACAGCGGTGGTGACCTTGGCTATGGAGCGCACTTGATCTGTTAACGATGAGCACATTCTATTTACCTGTGAGACGGCGCAGTGGTCAGTACGTGTAGGAAGGTAAGAAAAGGACGGAGATGACCAGGAAAGGCGCGTAGAGAGAGAGGGCAAAGGTGGGTCAGGCCGACCTGATGAAGGAGGGGTGCAAGCGAAGGACCGTGCGTCATAGTAGGAAGGAGCAACAAGTCATGGGAACATAAACAAGGGGGAAAAAAAGGCGACGATGAAAGTAAGCTCAACAACGCCTCAACACGAAGCTCAACGCAAGAAAAGGAGAGAAGGAAAGCGAAGGACACTGGATCATAGTAGAAGAGAGCGACAACTGATGAGAACATACGAGGAAGAAAGTGGGGGGAAAGGGGCAAAGTCGTAGGAGGCATGAAACGACGATGAAGGCAAGCCCAACAACGCCTAAACACGAAGCCCGACACAGGAAAAGAAGAAAGAAAAGAAAACACACATTCCGAACTAACTCGAACCAAACTCCCTCAACATCCGGTACATGCGCCTGACCTCCCAATTTGCCTTGACTTCCGACTTCGAGGGTTACCCGTGTGACTTCTGCTGCCAGTGCCCGTAGTCTGATAGCCCGTTAGTGTTAGAGTTTGACGGTGAGCTCGAAGAATAAGAAAAGATTTGAGCATGAAGAAAGTGCAAAAGAAAAGGCTCAAACACCCTAGAAAAGAAAGGTGGTCGACCCATATAAGATCAAGAAGTAGCCTCATAACACATACCCCCTCTTTCCTTTGCCGCTGCAGCGAAAAAAGCTCACCTAACGACCATACCATTAACCGTATTCTTCAAATCCAAAATCTCACCCCTGGCATCAACCTCGATCTGCTTGGACAAATCGCCAAGTGCGACTGCTTTCGTTACTTTTGCGATTGATCGGACCTAGGAAAGAAAGGTTGGTTAGGATAAGTTCGGGTTTAAAAAGAGGAGGGGTATGAAGAGGAAAGATGGAGATGATAAGAGGGAGGGAGGGGGACATGGTCTATGAGATGAGGGAAAGGGAGAAGACAGGGGGGGAGCATGTGTCGGAAAGGGAGAAGGAGTGAATAAAACCGGAAGCAGTTAGAAAGAGGGGGGTGACCGGGAAAGTCGGGAGAGGGAATGGCAAAGCGAGGGGTTGCGTGATGTGAAGTGATGGAGTGAAATGTGAAGAGAGAAGAAGCGTGCAAGGTGCGGACGAAGTGGATGAAAGAAGTGTATCAAAACGTGCAAAAGAAGGAAGCAAAAAGAACAGAAGAAGAAAGCAAAACGTGCAAGGAAGAAAGTAGAACGTGCAGAAGATGATAAGAGATGCACGAACACCGTGCACGGAAAAGACGAGAATGCCGCCCCAAAAAAAAACCGTATCCAAAAAGATGGAGCAAGAAAAATGAAATGGAAAACAAAAACACACCTGAGAAGTTAAATTTGCCGCCAACTTGTTCACGACACCCGTCAATTCGCGCCATGTGCCTTCGACGTCTAGAACGAGCGCTTGACCGCCTAGTTTACTGTGGAAGGCTAAGGTTAGCTGTTTATCATCGGAGCAGGAGATGGACGTAATGGGACGTAAACGGAAGCATGGAAAGTGGCTCGAAGCAACGAAACGGGCAACGAAGAAACATAACAGAAAGGAACATACCCCTCCGTCCCAACCTCCTGCGAAACACGGGTAACCTCTTTAGCAAACTGTCCCAATTTATCAACCTATCCTCCATCAGCCTCCACCACATCAAAAAAAAGAGAGAACCACACATACCATAGTATTAATAACATCCTTCAACTGGACCATAACAACCCCCTGCACAGGAACCGTAATCTTCTGACTCAGATCCCCTCTCGCAACAGCATTACAAACCCTCGCTACATCCTGCACCTGGGCCTTCAAGAGCTTCAGCTCCTCAACGGCGCTCATCCCACTCTCAAACGCCGCAGCTGCCAATGGGCCCATTGGTATAACCAGCGGACTAGATCCAAGAGGCACGTCAGGAGATGAGGCGGAGGAGGAGGAGAAGGGGGAAAAGGGGATGATGAGCGGGTCAGAGACGGTTTTGCCGCATGTTGGGCAGTGGGCGTGGGCTGTTGGTGGTGCTGAGGATGAGTTGGGGGGGTGGGAGGCGAAGGAAGCGGCTTTCATTGAGCCGTAGGCACGAGAAAAGGCCTTTGAGGGGTCGATGGAGGAGGGAATGCCCTCGAGTGAGATGGTCATTCCATTTGCCCTTGCAGCTGTAGATAAGTTCTGCGATTCCGCGAGCGGGGTGCGGTCTGCTGAGTGGTCGTGGTGGGTAGCTGTAGAATCACCATTGGCCGTCGTAATCGTCTCATCTTCCTTCTCTTCCCCCTGCTTATTCTACTCAAAATCATCATCAGCTTTTTCCTTTGGTTATCACAAAAAGCAAACTGAATACCGTCTTCCACTGATCGCCATCTCCATCCCCATCTCCCTCCAACTTTGCAACCTTACTGAGACCACCGATCGATACAACAGCAGCCTCAGCATCCCACATCCTCTTCGCAACCACAACCAAACTCTTCAAGATCATCTCCGTCTGCCAGTCTGCGGGCCCATCGTATCGCGGGATTGGCGCCCCTGGGAAAGGACCGAGTTCATAGATGGAGAGGAGGGCGACGAGGTGCGATCGGAAGGGGTCCGTCGTCGCCATGGACGATGTTCACTGAGATGGTGGTGGTGGGAGCAGAAGTGGAGTATTACTATTAGGGCGGCTGTAACTAGGCGCGTGACACCATTCGATCGAATTTGATGAGATTGAGTACCCCATTTCAGCTAACTGCATAATCGTAGACCACATCTGAAATTTCACTTTGCGCCTTTGGTTGTGCATAAACATCCGTTTTAGGCAAGTTTTAGGCCGTGGCTATGTAAACCATGATGCCCATATGCACGCGGGCTGCCTATTGCTCCACGTTCTAGCACCGTTTCGGTAGTTGCTCCAAACGCTCCAATCCCGCCCCACACGTCATAAGGGTGGAGCGGTTGGAACTTGCCAACTTGGAAGTTGGAAGGGCGTTCTACCTAATATGGTTGTTTGTACAAATAAAGGCGCACAAAGTAAAATTTAGATATGGTCTACGATTATGCAGTTAGCTGTTATATAGCGCCAAAATTTGACTGTACTTGTAGATACAGACGCGCAAATTGGTAAAAGAAATTCACCTTTTGCACAGACTAACCATTTCTACTCAAGTATATCACCCAACGTGCAACTAAAATCAATGATAATTTGTCGGATCATGCTCCCCGTCGAAGCTCTTCTACCCTCACTCCACGCACGATTCAAATTCCATTGTGATCCTAAAGATATCTGATTTGCACGATACTTTTATCGGATGATCATCCATAAACTCGGACACTGAGGCCGCGGAGGATATGAGCTTCTACCAAGCTTCTCCAAATTCTGGGGTCGGGAGTACTTAAGATGGGTCAGACTTCCGGGAATTGGAAGTCGTTGCCCGCTGAGAGGGATATGATAAGAATGACATGGTCAGATACAGTTCCGGCACCCGAACAACAATCGATCGACGATCATCGAATTCGGAAAGACATGGACGCGGGCAGGTAACCTATATATACCAGAGGGAAAAAAAATTCAATGAATGTGTACAAGGTCTCCAACTCCGAAGCAGAAACTCACAGCAGCGAGACGAATGCACTTCAAACCTTGTAGCTGAACTTGAAGTGTTGCCTACAGCAGCGGGCAAAACTGCATTGCTGAACGGTGCCAAAAGAGTGCGCTTCAACACTACAACCAAAACATAATTTCAAACCAAAGCTAGCTAGATACCGCGCCAGAGCAGCCCGTAGTACGCACCAGCTCAGCTACCGCGTTTTGGAAATTTCGGTTAAAAGGCTATCAATTAGACAGGGACAGGGAGGACAGGGAGGATCGCTGAGCCTCTAAGAAGGCGAATCGATGCGTATGTGCTTGAGGGGGGATGAGCCTATGCATGTCCCAATACGCGACAAGAGGGTTCGTTGCAAGGATCATACTTTTACTCCCACTTGCGAAAGTTGACGCCGGGAGACAAGCGAACATTTCACGTCCCAACTCTGTGTCATATGGAGCGACTTGATTTCTAGCAAAATCATGCTTGATCTTCTCAAGAAAAGCCCACATCCGGAAGAGAAGACAGGAACGAGCAAGTAAGCCTTTACATCCCGCGCTGCGGTACGAGTTTTTAGAGGCGAAAATTTAGAGGCGAAAAAAGCGGCCGGCTTGCTTTCTTGGGAGCGCTGCGTCACAAGAGATCGCGCAGACGACTTGATTGGGAGTACTTAGATCCGGGACTGCCAGTGAAGCTTGAAGACTTGGTTTGTGTGTGTCGACAGTACGCGAAACCAACCGTAGGCGCGTAGAAAACTATCGATCCGCAGCCACATCGCCAAGTGGTCTAAGAGGCGCTGGTGCGACTAAATGAGCAAGGAACGTTCAGGAGAGGACGGGGATAAGAGGAACTTGAATTCCCACCAAACAAAACAACACACAGATCGAGGTGTTTGCCGAGTGCTGTGCTCAACACGTGGCAGGATTGGGGGTCTCCTGGCATCTGTCACCCGTCTCTTTCCGGCTCTGGTGCCATGTCTGGGACACCTTATGTCCATATATAGACATAATTTATGTCTATATTGAGACATGTCCAAAAAAAGACATAAGGTCGTCCCAAAACAGACATAAGCCATCAATCTCACACCCATGCCCAAAAAGGCAGCTGCTCAAGCATTTGACCTCCTACCGGCTTTTCTCCCTGTGCTATGCGCCGCAGGCCAGAAAAATATTTGAATAGCTCACTTACCTTGTGGGAATTATAGGATACATGAATATGAACCCAGAATGCATTTTTAAAACATTGAAAAGAGAATTTGTGCTGTTCTGAGCATAAAGTCAGTTCCACTTAATCCAATTGCTCATCAAAGTATGTGTCCATGCTAGTGGAATATCTCAGAGTATGTGGAAGCACTTTACATGCACTTTTTCCTCTTAATGGCAGGTTGCTGCACTAAAGGCAACAAAAAGACAGAATCAATGGATAAAAAAAAATGTTGTACTGCTTTAAAAATGCTGATACAGGAGTGCTGGTATGTTGTTAATATTTCCTCACATAGTCTTGACATTCATATAAAAAGAATTTGTAACAATATCAAGATCTGGACTGTGTTACAATAAATCTATCTAAAGTTGAGAATAAATCTGTCATAATTGAACAACCCTTGCTGTTGATCTATAATTCTACATATATAATCAGTGTAAAGTACCCTGCTTCTTACGTGCACATTTTTGAAAAGAATTGAAACACTCTCAGCTATTCCAGACATGACACTAGAACCATCATTATTCCTGTCCATTGTAATTTTCAGTACTCTATCCTTGTTAGCTCAACATGAGGAACTTGAACATAAATCTGCTTTGCATTTAATCTGAGCTCTTGGCCTAATCTCCTGTCTTGTGGTTTCATGTGTAAAAATGCATGCTGATGGGAAGAGTTACTCATGATATCTAACCTGTTTCCTCATAGTTGTGGCCTCCAATGGGTGCCTGCCCCATTTTTAAATGGTAGATAGGGAGAGGATATATTTCACAAAATTTCATAGCAATCTGTCAAGTTTCTAACAAGATACATATTTGTGATTCAATTATCTCTGTGAAAAAAAAAAGATGTCAATCACTGGAATTGAACTTAGGTTGGCCATAAAAAGAGACCAAAAAAGCGCAATAATCCACTACACTATATAGCCCTATATAATCCTTACATGTAGTTACCATATATGTAATTTTTGAAAAACGGTGTCCTTGTCCCAGACATGACACCAGAGCCCTCTTTCCTTCGCCCTCCAGATTCCCTCCATCTTCTAGTATTGTCTACTTCAATTCACTATGAGCGAAATGAATATTTTGCCGGGCGCTCATGACTTTCTCGTGAGCGGCACAATCAACGCAGCCAGAATTGTGCGTAAATCAGTCAGGTCCTCATCGAGCGAGCTGATGGCATACATTTCATGCAGATTAACATCAATAACAACTTTGGCGACAGAGCGACATCCGATGTGGTCATTCCCCTTGTGCCAAACCCAAGCACTCGCTTCACAGGCCGGACAGAGATCATTGCAAAACTCACGGAACATTTTTCTGTTAATCCCACTGATACGTCTCAGAAGAGAAAGTACTTTTTATTGCATGGAATGGGGGGTATTGGAAAGACTCAGATTTGCTTGAAGTTTATTGAGGAGATGTCTGACCAGTGAGCACATTATAATATATGCCTGACTATTTTTGTTGAAAGCCTACTTTTCCCAGTTTTTCTATTGTTTTCTGGATTGATGCTTCCTCTGCTGGCACCATTTTACAGGGGCTTAAGGGTCTTTGTTTGCTTCCTGAAGCTAAGTCTTACATGTTGGATGGCTCACCTGAGTCTGCTCTGCACTGGGTTGGCTCTTTGAAAGAGAACTTTGCAATGGTCTTTGATAATGCTGATGTTCTGTCCCCTGCTGAGCTTGAGGCATATTTTCCACCTGGCCAGAGGGGAAACATTCTGATTACTAGTCGCAACTCTACCATGCAGTGCCTGATTTTACCTGAGAATTCTCTTGAGGTGACAGAGATGGAAGAAAGTGAAGCTGTTTTGTTACTTCTGAGAGCTAGTTGTTTGAATTCTTCTGACATGGATTTGAAAGCAGAGGCTTCTAAGATTGTGAAGGAGCTTTGCTGCTTACCTCTTGCTATTGATCAGGCTGGTGCATTCATTGCTTCTGGAGCCACTAGTATTAGAGACTATCTTGATAAATATTTGCATCATCGAGAAACATTGTTATCACACTCAGAATTCACTGGAGCATCTAAATATAACAAAAGTGTCTATGGAACTTGGGAGTTGTCATACATGGAAATCCAAAAGAGGGCTGGATCTGATGATTTTCACAAGGCTAGAGCAGCTGACAGTGCATTATTTCTATTGGGATTGTTTCCATTTTGGCATCATGAGAGTATCAGTGAAGAAATTTTTGCTTATGCTGCCACTCAAAAAAACGAAACAGGCTCTCATCCTGACTTACCA